GATAAAGCATATTTTATTTGAGATATTATCCGAGATGCTCTATTTGAGTTATGATTGTGAAGTATTTGATTATTTGAGCTGTCAGTATTTACTTGAAGCTTTTATATTTATGTTTATTTAATGAAGGTTGCTTGATCTTTACGGATCAACATTTAAGAGGAATTTCACTCCTAATTAAATTAGGGTGAAAAGATTTAAAATGATAAGAATTTATGGTTTGAGGTTTGCCCAAGTGTTAGGGCTTTGCGTATGAATTATAACAATTTATTTTCAGTATTGGTATTTAAAGCACATTATTATTTCTTTCTTTCAAAAAGTTTAAATATGCTCCGGAGCAAAAATATTATTTCAAGATTTTAGAGAATGGGATGTGACATCCAATCCCCAATTTCTAAGGTTCGTTTGGTGATAGTTTGATTGATATAGTTACAACAATGCATTGCTTTTTTGAATTTACTGCACAAACAATACATTCATTGTTTGCTTGATGTGACACAAACTATCACTCAAAATGACTAATATTTAAATCTCAAGTTCTTGGTGAGATTGTGGAGATTGTTTGATTGAGATTGTTAAGTTGAATCATTCCTAACTACACAATTAAGTCCCGACTAAAGTCCAAGTGCAAACTCTAGAAGGGTGTAGTATAGGGCAAGCGTTTTAATTGTCAACCCGAGGCGGTCCATGTACTCCTACTTCAATGGCTTAAATTGTTATCTAGCAAACGGTCTGTGGTTAAAAGCTAAATAACTACAGTTTTGAATAAGCAGAGAAAGTAAATTGTGGTGGTTTCAATATGAGAAGACTTCACTCGGATATTGCTCCCCATAGTCTTGTATCAAGATTGAATGAAAGGAATATTATTGTGGAAAGGTGTGCTCATACACCGCGAGGTGGTTGAAACTAGTGGAGAAACCCCACTCTCTTAAACTATTAGCCAAGGAATATCGAATTAAGCTAGGAAACTAATCCAGATGGAGAAATAACAAACAATCATGGTAGGTTCATGACACTAAATCATTATTTGAGGCTTACCCTCAATTGACCTAGGTGGGTAACCCAAGAGGTCAAGAAATCCAGCTCCTTGAAGTCTCAAAAGGGGATCTCCTCCACCTAGGTCAATTTGACCTAATTATGAGATATGAAGAACAATACTCAAGAATTCTAAAAATACCTCAAACATTGCATTGAACACAAACCCACACACATAACATTCAATCCATACAACCAATCACATATAAGAGGCTAGGGTTCACAATACCCAAGTGAAAGGGATAACTACTCCATAGCTAGGCAAGGGATTACAACAAAAAGGAGAAAAACAACCATGGTGTGGTGTTTGTCTTCCTTCCTTGTTGCTGAAGTCACCCTCGAGAGATGAAAATCTTCACTCCTATACCTAAGAGCAAACTCTAAACCTCTTCTTCTTCCTTTGTTTGTCAGTTTATCTCTTTAATATCTGAAGAAGAAGGCCACTCTCTCACTAGGATCCCCCCTCTTATTTTAGCTAATTTCTTCCCCTTTTATACTCCAGTCGCGCAGATGTCACAGTCAAAAGTCATGCGTGTGATCTTGGAAGACTGCCTGTGATCTCGGAAATAACGCACCATTCCACTTAGCATCTTCACGGTCTGGGCAAAATTGTCACGATCGATTGACCGTGACAACTAAGTTGTCTGCGAGGCATGCAAAGGCTCCTAGAAGTCGTTGATTCAAGGTCGAGGTTGAATCTACACGGTCTTCCCCATGTGAAGATGTCTCCTTGGCCGCGATCTTTGCCTTTTTGTCCATTTCGATTCGCTTTCGCCCTCTTTCATTCGACTTTCACTCCCAATGTCAATTCCAACTGCTAAAACCTGAAACATGCTAAAACATGCACAAACCTAGTGTAAAATCGAACCTTGGGTGATATAAACGCCTCAAACGTCTCAAGAATATGGGGTGGAAGCATGTACAAGTAATCCTGAATCAAACTACCCCAGACTTGGACGTTTGTTTGTCCCCAAGCAAACCAATCTCAAAAACATAATAATTCAACCTAAACATCATAACTTAGGGACATGTAAAAGGGCACAAAGTGGATGGATCTCAAATGTCTATTTGGCTCCGACATATGGACAACAACAAGAAATCTTGCAAACCACCGTAAATGACATTCGAATGTATTAAGAACATGCAAAGGTAAAAGTCCTCACCTTGTTCACAAACATAAACATATCCTACAATGACGACTCTCCAACCACAGTTATACATGCATAAAGATCACATCATAGGAACAAACGAATGAGCAAATTAGGTCCTCATTGGGGTATGATATGAACAAGATAAAATGAATGAATCACTCACTCTCGATCAATGGGGTCAGGACCATTATGATGCAAAAGATGTGCATACTCAACACTCAGCCCTATCGTCTCTTCACCATAACGGTAACCTCTAGCTGCTAAAGCTCACAAAATGAATGTTATCACTAGCTCGTCCGGAGGTCGTAGACATGGGTTTAGATGACTGGCTACGGTCTTGGACATGGGGAAAAGGCTTTTTGGGTGGTGAGAAACATAGCATGAGGTTCCACTTTTTTCAACCTAAAACCAACAAGGTTCTATGGTTTCCACTAGAACCTTCTTCTATAAGCAATGACCACTAGCATCGACCAAAAATCACACTTCCCACTACTCCAAACCAAAACGAATCATGAACGACATTCGAAGCACACTTTTTTTGCTACACCTGCTATCCAATATTTCAAGAATAAGAGTGAAGGAGGTAAACAACATGTAGGTGTCATAATGACTTGATTTCCAAGAAACACCTTTATAGAGCAATAACAACATTTTGTGGCACTATATGTTCTTAGATACCCCTTTTATTGCCTTTTTTCTCCATTTCCTTTTTGTTCGCCATATGATTCTATTTATACTCCCACTTTTGACATTGGTTCTAGTAGCAAAAGGCCTTTAGGTGACCCTGTTGCTAATGAACCACAAAGAAGTTAAAGGGCTAGAAAAGAAAAGAGTTTTGTTGATAATAGGGACTAAAGATTATGTGGTCATTAGCTGCCATGTTGATGATATGTTGATAATAAGAACTGTGAAGGTCATAAATGACACCAAGGAGTATACAACTTCCTGCTTCCAAATGAAAGATCTTGGGGAAGTTGATACTATATTGGGCATCAAAGTAAAGAAACATAGTGGAAGTTTTGATTTGAGTCAGTCACATTATGTCAAGAAGATGCTCAAGAAATTAGAGCATTTGGACATAAAGGAAGCTAACACCCCTTATTATGCTTCTTTTAAGCTTTGTGCAAATGAGGGAAGAGCAGTGGCACAAGTTGAGTATTCTAGTGCTATTGGAAGTTTGATGTATGCAATGGGTTGTACAGGTCCTGATATTGCATTTGCTGTGTGCAAACTTTCTAGATTCACTAGTAATCCTAGTGCTGATCATTGGAGAGCTATAGGAAGAGTCTTTGATTATTTGAAAAGAACCAAAGATTTGAGACTCTTCTATAGCAACTTTCCCGCTATACTAGAAGCATTTTCTGATGCTAGTTGGATCACGAGAGCTAGTGATAATAAATCCACAACATGGTGGATTTTTACAATAGGTGGTGGAGCTATTTCTTGGGCTTCGAAGAAACAAACATGTATTACACACTCCACTATGGAAGCAGAATTCCTAGCCCTTGCGACGGCTGGAAAAGAAGTAGAATGGCTAAGAAACATGTTGTTAAATATAGAGTTATGGTCACAACCAATGCTAGCCATTTCTATCTTCTGTGATAGTGAGACTACATTGTATAGAGCTTAGTAATTCTAGACACATTAGCCTAATACATGATTATGTTAGGTATTTGATTACTAAAGAAATCATTTCTATTGTGTATGTAAGGTCATGCAACAATTTGGCCGATCCTCTTACGAAGGGATTGCCAAGAGGCATGATCTATGAGACATCCTGGGGATGAGATTGCGACCTTTTGTATAGTTAGAAGTAATGGGAATCCAAATTTTTTTTATAGGTATTTACTAATTAAAATGTTCAATGTGGTGATAACAAGTTACTCTAATTGTGTTACTAATTTATTGTACAAATAAATTAGTTGAAAGGGTGAGTTATATGACTCTTAATGACGTTTAGTTGGAATGTCACCTATGTGAGAATTGAGAGTGATGCCGCTCTAACAAAAGTAGAGGCCAACTTTTGTGAATACTCATGAAACAGGATTAGCACATGGCCATAATAGTGCTACCCTTGTTGGTGATTGTGTTTTAGATAAGAGACAAGTACGTGTCTGACATCTCCAGTTATAGCTTTGGATCGTGACTCCTAGGTTTAAGCCCGTCACTGATTCGCTATCAACTTTGAGTTGCTTACACTAGGTAAAGGTTCAAATCTAAAAAATACATTTATATATGTGCGACTTGTTCGATAGGGTATTTTAAACTCTTGTTGACTAAGTGGGGATTATTAGAGTAGTCAAAGAGTTAAAAGGAATACCACATTGGTGGGAGAAGGAAAGTGCAAGTGGTTTTTAAGTTTGCTTCCCACTTTATTTTCTTGGATAAAGTGGTTAGTGGACTTTTGGAAAAATTGTGTGCCATTTAATTTGACATATTAAAGCGCACTACGCCCTTAGCACGCTTGCGTGACGCGTTCGAAATTGATCTTTTGGCTATTTAATTAATTTTTGGAATTAGTTTTATTAATTTTGGATAATTAGTTAAGTTTGGGTTTTGTGAAAAGACGTAACCCTTGAGAAGGGAACTGACGTTTATCTCACAATAAAAGACGTTTAGCCAGAAGATTTTTTTTAAAACGTTCATCTTCTCCTCCTCATTTTTCCTTAACCAAAAAACACAAACACATAAGTAAGAAAAGTGCTGCTTTCGGACTTTGATTGGAGTGTCTCATGGGGGTGCTTTGCCTAAGGTATCGTTTGCTTGTGGGATTTGGGTGATGTATTTGATATCCAAATCCCAAGTATTATGTATTTGCCAAAATAACTTTGTTTGTTGAGGTATATGACACGCTAAAACACAACACCTAACAATGGCCAAGTGTAACCAATGAAAGGGACTGCAATAATGTGGCACAAGTAATAAATATCGAATCCACGGGTCTCTAGAGTTACTATTACTCAGCTTCAGTTCATTATCTAGCAAACTAGATTAAGGATTGATTTATAAACTACTCTACTGACTACTCTACTAATTACAAGTTGGGAACTCACTTAGGTATGATTCCCCCTAGATCCTCAATTAGGTCCAAGTTGCAATTACCTTTGGTTGATATACTGTTGATTGAACTGCGGAAGATCCTAAATTAGCTTGGAATCTCTTAAGCTGACCAAGCCCTCTCAGACAGAATACCCGGCAGGCGACTAGCCTTCACCGGGATAGACTGCTTAGGCGATTCACACAGATCTCCTCTACTGGAATGAATTCCAGTACAAAGCAGTGAATTGATTGACTCTCGCACAACCAATTCGCCACTATCAATCAAGGAAGCTCTCTTAACCTAATCAGATTCTATCTATCATAGGTTAAAGCAGAAATCAAGAGAATTTGATCAAGATTCAATTGACTCAATAAATCATGCCTCAATCGATTATAATCAAACAATATAGCATCCAAAACTTCATACAAGAAAGATCCTAACACATGGAACTAGGGTTCCTCAAAACCTAAGTGAAGGGAAGTTACTCCATAGAGAAGAGAGAGACTGCAGAAATCTGATCTAGATCTTCAATCTCCATCTCCAAGCTTGATTCCCGAGCTCCAATGGCGAAGAAATCCTCCAAAATAGCTCCAAGAATGTTCCCAAGTCGCTCTCTCTCTCTAGGGTTCGTCCCTTGGGTGTTTGGGAACCAAAAACCCAGCTCTCCCCTTTCCTTTGGCTGAAAATCGAGTTTTAAACAGAAATTCCCGATCACGCGGCCAGGTCACACGGCCGTGTGGCTTTCCCAGCTGCCCGTGTGAAGGCTCGGTGATTTCCACACGGCCACGACCCACACGGCCGTGTGGAATTCCAGGATGCCCGTGTGGCTTGCTCAGCCTCTGTTTAATGCTTCGTTTCTCCCTCGTCCGGACTCCGAATCAGTCCCCGTTTGATCCCAGACGCTCGTAGTCTCGTCCTTTTTCTTTTCATGACAAGCTTGCATGATTATTTGTCCATAAAGTGAGGTAGAAATCCATTCTTCTTCAGGTCATGCCCGAGTTTCTTCTCCCGAATCGTCAATTGATCTCTGATTGATTTGAAACCTTGCGCCTATGCTTCACTTTATGTGCTAGGACCTGAAATGTGACAAAGGAACACAACCTAGCATAAAATAGGACAAAGATGCAATAATTCAAGCTCAAACAATCAAGAAACAAAGGGGAAAACATGTGCAAATACCGAGTCATCAGTATACAAATCCGTGGGGTCCATAGATTTGGTCCTTTTTTTAGCTCCAAATCCGTGGACCCCACGTATTTGCAAATACCATATTTTATTTAGTATTTGGTCATGGAAGGCAAGGTTTTGTGAGCCATGGTGCAAAAACCTTTAAATCCATGATAAATAAAACTAAACAAACAATGTTATCTTTCAAATACAAAATGCAACAAATCCATCATAAATCCAAAGGTTTTCAAAACTCTAAACCTTCATTTACAAATCCAAAAAGCAAATGAGTCCTAATTCCTACCAACAATAACGTAGTGGGGGCAAATAACACTTTAAGGAGAGTGATCAAAATCAGGCCTTCAATCTCTTCCCTACCGTTTTCCTGATGTGGTCCCAATGGAAGCGGCGAGACTGAACAAGACAGTGACAAATGAAGTGGAAGGACGATCCATGGGGAAGGAACGGGTCTCGAAGATGGACCCTCCGGGGACATAGAGGTGAGTGCCAAGGGAGACCGTGGTGAAATTGCAGAGTCCGTAGACGTAGGGGTTGCAGGGCACGGGTGGGAGAGGCTTATAGGCAAGGGTCCCAAGATCGAAGAGGTAGGGAGAGGAGATGGAAGGGTCCTTCGGGAAGATGCAGAGAAGGTCGCTGAGATGGCGGCGGAGGCGGCGGAGAGAGATTAGGGTTCCAGAAGAGAGGGAGATGCACCAGGATTTGCAGGTGGACTTTAGACGGGATTGGTGAGAGTAAGGGAGCATGAATAGTATCTAGGCTGCTAAATCGTTCAACAGGCCGGGAACAGATGTACGGTGTCGTAGAACGGCGCGATCAAAGACGAAATTGATTTTGGTCGGAACCGAGTCATTATCTCCCCGGATTTCTTCTCGACCAATTGAAAGGAATTCCACAGAGCAAACATAAACAAACGAAATCAAACCATCTTCTCCACCTTTTTCCCGGGAGACAAACAGAAGCACTTGGGAGAGAAATTTGGAATGACGGTTACGACAGCCAGATTAAGGAGTGTCGACCTTGAGATTTTGGAGTCCCTGTAAACGAAATGTGGTCGAATTTATTTTTTCAAAATATATAATAAAATATAAATAAAGCATCAATAAATAAAAATCTTTCCAATATTTAAAAATAATATCTATATAATATGATTTGTAATAAAGAGTGACAATGATTTAAATAGTAAGATATAATTGAAAATTTGATTATAATTTTAGAACAATCAGATAGTATAAAAAAAATAATAGAATAAACTAAATTAGATAGGAAAAACTGATAATTTTTTATTTTAAATTTAGATATGATACAAACGATTTATGATTGATTTAGTTAGTTTTCCTTTTCTACTATTGGTGGCTTGTACCGAATTATTCTGGTTAACATTTAATAAATCAATGTGAATTATTTAATTAGCATTATTACCTTGCTAGTACAAACATATTAATTAACAAAATTGAATTATTTTTCTCCTTAGAATTTTGAAAATGAAGAAACTTAAAGAAACAAATTTATTAATGCCAATAATGAGACATCATCAATCTTACATCTTTTATTATATTTAGAAACACACGAAAAAATGAGTTCTGTTATATGGTTTGAAAAATATTTAATAATTAAGAAAGCAAGTTTTCCCCTCATATGATCCGTTCGTTCTTAAAGTTTTTAATATTATTGCTTTAGACCCATAGTCAAAAAACAATTCATAAATTTTCTATCATTTTAAATTCATAATCGAAATTCAATAATTCGTAAATATAATTAGTCATATACGCAATGAAGTAGGAGTGGGCAGACGGTTCGGTAAATCCGATCCGAACCAAACCGAAACCGAAATAATGCTATTCGGTTCGGAATTCGGAAGGAAAATATGGATAGTTCGGAAACCAGGGTTCTTTCAACCGAACCGAATTTCCGACCGAAAAATAGAAATACTATAATTGCAAGCTCCAAATGGTGGATTTTTATGTTTGTAGTTGTTTTTAGACTTAAATATTTGAAATGTTTTATGACTTATGTGTTGAAAAGTTTGATTTTATCGTTGATGATGCATATAATTGCTATTTATTGTTTATATTAGGGGTGAAAAATAATTTAAAAGTGATAAAATACAAGTAGCTTCACAAATTCAGTTTTGGGTGAAAAACCGAACCGAATTATATTTCGGTTTGAGGTTTGAGAGAATTCGGAGACCCGGTATTCATAATTTCGGTTTGGTCGAAAACGAACCAACCGAATGCCCACCCCTACAATGAAGGTTGTCACGGACCAACTCTTGGCCGTGCGGCACTTAGCACTCAAGTCTCGTTAGAGCGCTAAGTCAGCCTTACTCGTATTCACTCAAACTCACAAGTATGGAGAAAAGCTCTAGAGATGGAAAGCTCTCAATTTCTGGATGAATGAAAAGTGGTTGAGAGGGCTGCTTATATAGGCATCCTCTCCACTAAGTACAATGTACATGGCCGTCATAAATGAACGAACCTAGATAGTCCCCCCATACATGAACCAGCCCCATACATGAATGTAATAAATGAGGTGAATGCATAAGCACTCATACATGAATCATAATAACTAGGTGCATGAATAAAAGATAGGGAGGGGGGGATGTATGTACATTGGTGCATGAATTGCAAGATGCATGCATGTACCTACATCCTTCTAGAATCTTCTCCGTAACAAGGTCCGGAGGCCCCCAAAATTTGAGGCCCTGTACCGGAGAGTGTGCCAGCACACCCTCTAGGCCAACCTGTTGACAAGACAAGGCAGGAGTGGTTAGCTGGGATGGTGATGGATCATTGCACATTATTCAGTCATTCAACTTCATTTTCTAAAGGGGAAAGTCTGAAAGCAGAAGGATTTTTCTTGTCCATAAACGCAACATACAGATGGCTGACACCTGGAACCAGGATATCCAATAATTTCTTACACATCATCGCTGTGGCCCCGCGATTTTTTCATTCTAAAGTCTTAACCAATTTGAGAAATAGTAAGTAGCTGGGAAAATAGACCAGATCGACAGAAAAAATGTGGTCCAACTTGGACCGTACAGTCTGCTTCAAACCGTAAACTGTTAAATATGGTATGTATTATATGATGTTTTGATTTTTTTTCTGGTCTGGTCTAGACCCAGGTTTACCGGACCAAATTGTGACTCATTCGACTTGTCAATACGTGTTAGCAGCCACTCGACCACTCTTCCAACTCCCACAACGAGACCTAAGTCTCAACTTGAATTTTTTGAATCTCATTCACTCCTTCATTCACAACCACATTTCACCAGAGATTAGCGGCGATCGTGTCTCCATAATGACATTATGGTGCAAGTTGGGATGCTTTCACTTTATATCTTTGTTATGTACTGAGATTTATGGTGTCAAAATTATTCGTGCATGTTAGAATTTATTTTTTTAGCCAAAAATTAATTTTTTCTTGGCTATTGGTTCAATTTTTTGTGTTGTCGACTAAACAAATTGTTCATTTTTCATTGAGTGTGGTCTATCTGGACTAGAACGTACCAGACCAGACTGCATAGGCGTGATCTGGTTTAGAACGTATAGTCTATGGTCTGGTCTGTGGTTTATACTTCAGCCTCTCAATCTGGACCGTAGGCCGTATATTTGGTTTGGTCTAGACCAGACCACACTGATTCCCAACCCTAACATCTGCGACTTTGGAAAACATACCGTCAATAATTTATATATAACCATTAGTAACCCTGTTAAGAGTCTAATGAATACATAATTGTTGTCCAATTAATTTTTATGGTCATATCTCTTTTATTTTAATTTAAGTTTTTACACAGAAAAATCAGAGTTATTGTGTTGTTAAAAAATGGCATCCAATTTGATATATTTTGGAACAAAACATATATACATATATTACCAATTTATACCATGGTGGTAATGCTCGTTAGTACACAAGACTATGTCATAATGGTATGGAAGTGTGTTATGGTGGTATGAATGTATGTATCATAATGTAAAATGGTTGTATACAAGATAGTAGAATTTTTTTAATAATAGTAGTAGGGATATTGATTCGGGCTTATTTAAACATGTTTTGCCCTTCATATATTGATCGTTAGACTTGGTGTTTGCGTGCCTATTTTATGATAAGTTGTGTTTCGTTTGTCACATTTGAGGTCCTAGGACATAAATAATGACAGTGAATGAGTTTCGAGACACTTTGAGTTGAAAATGGCATAAATGCATCAAAGGTGCAGAGGTCACGGCCTAGGAGCATTTGACACGGCCAGACTGTGATGTTTCATTGGAAGCCGTAAGACTTGACCAAAGAAATAGGGAGCAAACTACTGTTCGTAGGTTGCTAGACATGTCACGACTTTGGCCATGAGTTTTAACCTGAAGTCGTGCCTTGCTACAAAATGTTGCCTTTCTCGTCAAAAGTCACGATTTTTTTGTTGACGTCACTACCGTGACATGAGGCCATGACTTGTGCACTGTCTACGGGTATAAAAAGCTACTACTGTGATTTTGAGAAGGGGTTTTGAGTTTCGACCCAAAACACCCAAGAGATGTTCCAAAGTGAGGGAAAACGATCTTGGATGGATCTTGACATGAAGATTGAAGATCTTGAGTTTTATATTGTATTCTCTCTCTTCTCTATGAAATAATTCTCATTTACTTAGATTTTGATGAACCTTAGTCATGTTCTAGAGCCGAATGTTAGGAATTGATGTTTGAATGATTCATATGATTGATTACACTATTCATTATATAGTGAATTGAAATATTATTATGAAATTGTGTGGGTATTGATCATTCTGCCCAATTTGAGGCTATTAACCTAAGGTAGAGAATATTCAATTATGTTGATTAGATCATCCTTCAATTCTTCAGTGTGGGTCAATTGATCGAGCGTGATAGTATACTACAAATGTCGTATTGGATCGACATCCTTTAGTAGGAGCCGAATTACATGTCTTAATTTTTCTATTTTGACGGATGTAGAAACTCTCCTTGAGGGCAGTTCATCTTAAGTGAGCTTGGATAACTCGAATAGGGTGTTCAAGCGAATTTAGGACTCTACGATATAAATCTTGAGTGGGCAAGCTAGGAACGTCAACCTCGACTCGGTTAATGGGTAGGGGGAATCAATGCTCTATTTGAGCTCCCAACTTGTAAGTTAGCTAGTGTAGTTTAGTTTCTTAATCTCAATCTTGTGTGGACGGAGAACAAATCGAAACAAAGTAATGGTACATCTAGAGACCATTGGATTTGATAATTATTACTTTATTTCACCCGGTCATTGGTTATGGTTGACCTTTGATTGGAAGAGTAGTTTAAACCAAGTCAAATATACTAATTGCATTTACCACCTTTCACAACCGTATATATGGTGTTATATTTGTCCTTGAAATTTTTTCTCGGAAATTTCTAGATCCAACAGGTCACGATAAACTAGTTCCTTCTGTGCAAAATGTTCCAAAATTTGAGTGAAAATAAAGGTGGTACTGAGTGATACTTGGTGGCAGCAGAGTGGTAACGAGTGGAATGAATTTTTTTTCACAAACTATATTCAAAATTGACATAATTTTGGATATCATAATGAACTTATTCCATCTGTACAAAAAAATTGGACATTCAATTTAAAATAAAGAAGATATAAGCCAATTAAAAAAATAGTGAAAATAAGAAGTATTTTGATCTCAACCCTTACACCAGGCCCAACTCTAAAGGACGAGATGTGGTTATGCATTTGTGCATAATCAATGATTATGAACCCTATCAATGACCATGCTAACTGGACTTAATCGTCGTAAATAGAGTTTTAGATTGTTTACGGTTATACTCAAGGATTGAGAATGCTTTGGGTTTAAACACTTGGAAAATTAAACATCGGTAAGTTTGTAGAAGTTAGCACCATGCTAAGTATGAGTTGCGGTAGTATAATCATAGTTGAAAGGCTAAGGTCACCTAGTGACTTATTTGAAACATATCTCCAATTAATCAAAAGCTTATTGGACACATATAGTGACTTTGTGAATTCCCGTACTATTCTTTACCCTAATTTAGGGAAAAAATCCAAAAGTACCACTGTTTAAAAAAAAATTTAAAAAATACCACCCAACCCCAAAAAATTCCAAAAATACCACCCTTTTTCAAAAACCGCCACCCCACCCTGCGGTTTACACGAAAACCGTTTGTCGGAGGCGCGGTTTCCTATGCAAACCGCGGGCCTAGGGGGCGGTTATAAATTTTTTTTTTTGACCAAACCGCTGGTTGGGGTGGCGGTTTTGGGTCAAACCGCCACCCCACCCAGCGGTTTGGTCCAAATTTTTTTTTTTTCGATCAACTCCTAACTTCGGCCGGAACTTCAAACGAACGTAAATTTTCACTCGGGTATCCGATCGTAGCGATTTTTTTTTTCATTTCGCATAACTTTTCAAGATCTACAACTTTTACAAGGATGAAATTTTCAAAACTGGAACTATTTGTGGATATACGGGACCTTGGGAATAACTTTACCTTTACTTTTCACAAATCCATGTATATTTTGTAATTATGATTATATTAAAAGTTGTAGATCTTGAAAAGTTATGTGGAATCAAAAAAAAATTCATGAAATTCGGATTTTGGAGCACAAAGTTATGGCCGCCCAAAGTTTGACGAAATCAAAAAAAGGCTCGTTCGGGGTGGCAAATGACGTTTTTCCGAGACGAAGGCGGGACCCGGCGGTTTGCGGCTTGCAAGATCTCAAAAATTTATTCGGATTCAAAAAATGGAGGCTGCAAACTTTTTGAGATCTTGCAAGCCGCATACTGCCGGGTCTCGCATTTCGTCAAACTTTGGGGCCTCCATTTTTTGAATCCGAATAACTTTGCGGCCTCCATTTCGTCAAACTTTGGGGCCTCCATTTTTTGAATCCGAATAACTTTTTGAGATCTTGCAAGCCACAAATCGCCGGGTCCCGCCTTCGTCTCGTAAAAACGTCATTTGCCACCCCGAACGAGCCTTTTTTTGATTTCGTCAAACTTTAGGCGGCCATAACTATGTGCTCCAAAATCCGAATGTCATGAAATTTTTTTTGATTCAACATAACTTTTCAAGATCTACAACTTTTAATATAATCATAATTTCAAAATATACATGGATTTGTGAAAAGTAAAGGTAAAGTTTTTCCCAAGGTCCCGTATATCCACAAATAGTTCCTGTTTTGAACATTTCATCCTAGTAAAAGTTGTAGATCTTGAAAATTTATGAGAAATGAAAAAAAAATCGCTACGATCGGATACCCGAGTGAAAAGTTATGTTTGTTTGAAGTTTCGGCCGAAGTTAGGAGTTGATCGAAAAAAAAAACAATTGGACCAAACCGCTGGGTGGGGTGGCGGTTTTGGGTCAAACCGCCACCCCACCCAGCGGTTTGGTCAATTTTTTTTTATAACCGCTCCCTAGGCCCACGGTTTGCATAGAAAACCGCGCCTCCGACAAACGGTTTTCGTGTAAACCGCAGGGTGGGGTGGCGGTTTTTGAAAAAGAGTGGTATTTTTGGAAATTTTTGGGGTTGGGTGGTATTTTTGGAATTTTTTTTTTAAACAGTGGTATTTTTGGATTTTTTCCCTAATCTAGAGACTACATGGCTCTATCTCTAACGATTATGACGAGAGAGATTGCGCTAGACCTTCTATATAGATAACGTAAAAGAAATCTCTTTTAAATCATATGAAACACGCAAGCATGAAATATACTATTTATATAAAATATAATAACTATTATATAATGTTCACGTCATGTTGTTTATTTTATGCAATACTTAAAAAATATTATGTTATGTAAAGTACAAAGACATTACAGAAGAAAAAAATCATATAAGTTGAGACAAATCTAATCAACTTGTCGACATCAGCTCAGACATCAAGTTGTCTCTTTTTATTTTGGAAAAATTCCCCTCAATAAGCTCAACTTAGTCGAGTGGATTAGGCTTCCTTTTGAGTGTTTTATCATATTTTTGAATTTTATATTGAAAAGGTATATACTATTAGAAAAGAGAATGGAGAAACACCACAAAACTAGCGACATCCAAGGTCACTCATTCGCCAAAATTTCTAAAGTTGCCACAAAAGGCACAAAACTTTCCACTAAAAGAAATGTTACAACCGCTTTCAATTCCCTCACCCTAAATAATGAACAAAAAAAGATCCAAACACTAGTTAATCATTTCGATTGCCGACCTTCACTTAAAAAATATGAATATCCTTCCTTATGCTTTTCATGGTCATTTTCCCTTCTCTTTGACTCTTGTGGAAACTCTTAGAACAATATCAAATTTTGTTTAACCCAAAAAGATAAAGACAAACATTATCTGAGCCACGAACTCAATTGATTCATAAAAATTTCATATGTATCGAGGAAGTAACGATCAAATCCAGGTGATGATCATCTAGTGAAAAAAATTACAAAAATGGTAACTTTGTCTTCTCTTTTGCGACCCCCCCCCCCCCCCCCCCCCCCCCCCCTCAATTATGTGTATTTTAGTTTGTAATTTCATTGAACATCTACATTTGTTCTTATTGCCTTGAGTAATTTTGGTTTAGGTTTGAATCCCTATGATTGATAGATCATATAATCTTTTAATTATTTTATATATGTTGTGGAAGTTAGATTTTTGCCATTATTGAATGTTACAACAGTTTTATGAATTGATGCTAAGAAATTCTGTTTATGGCGGACAATTTTCTTTTGTTTGAAGCTTCTAACCCGAATCAGATTTAAACTTTACATTTATTTATGGTGTTATATGTTAGAATCCTTTCAATATAATTGCAGATAAAAATCTTGATCCATGTTATCCTCGTTAATTAATAAATTATTTAGCTTCTTCCGTAACAGGTTTGCAGTGAATTTTACGATAATTAACCCAAACTAGGAATAATATTGCCAAATTAATTTCATGCCATTATGTTGCTATACTCTATATGAAAATATAGACGAAACTATTAGTTTAATTAGTTTATTCCTTTTAGGGGGTGCCACAAACCATTGATGTTGGTTCTCATGTATGGCTTGAAGATTCTGAACTTGCTTGGGTAGATGGAATTGTGTTTAGCGTCACAGGACATGATGTTGAAGTTCAAACTAGTGATGGAAGAACTGTAAGTGATATATTTTTTTTTGTTATGTAACATCAAAACTAGTTTCATTGGAAAAGATAGAACTAGTGTTTTCTTGCAATATCTGTTTATGCCACTTTTTGTCGTTCATTATATTAGGTTGTGGCAAAGTTCTCAGCATTACATCCTCGGGATGCGGAATCTCGAGCTGGGGGAGTTGATGACATGACTAACCTCCATTACTTGAATGAGGCTGAAGTCCTACATAATTTAGCAACAAGATTTCAGATAGATGAAATATATGTATGTTTCCCTCTTACAATTTCATGACAAATCTCTGGCTCTCGATTGATATTTAACATCTTAAGACAGTAAACTAACTGCTACTACAGTTAAGGGCATGTGTGGTATAATGTTAATTGACATCATGCATGACAGACTTACACGGGCAATATTCTTATTGCTGTCAATCCATTTCAAGCCCTTCCACATTTATATGAACCTGCGGTGATGGAACGACATAAAGGAGCAAAAATGGGAGAGCAGACCCCTCATGTTTTCACCATTGCTGATATTGCATACAGGTGAGAATATCTTAGCCTGGTTATCAAAGGATGAAAAAGGTTTTTTATATGCTATCAATAACGCACATTCCCATTTTACGACAGGGCAATGATTACTGAAGGTAAAAGCAATTCGATTCTTGTTAGTGGTGAAAGTGGAGCAGGAAAAACTGAGACAACTAAGAATCTAATGTGTTACCTTGCCTATCTTGGGGGAAATTCTGCTGCAGAAGGACAGACTATTGAACAACAAGTTCTAGAAGTAAGTAGGAACATATGATTATTCCCAACCAAAGACTAGTTTAAAAATTGGAAGTTTGGAATAGTGATTATGTTGTCATATTTTGAATGCTCAACATACTTATTCTTCCCCCTTATTCTTGTTGAGGCAATCACTAGAAAAAAAACTAGGCTAATAGCTTTTCGATACAACTCCTTCCTCAATATGGATTGTATGATTAGAATATGTATGTTGGATAAATTTGAAACTCTCATACTAACAAGTATTGTGCAGTCAAATCCAGTTCTTGAAGCGTTCGGCAATGCAAAAACAGCTAGAAACAACAATTCTAGGTGAGACATGTACCATTTCATTTCTTATAGACATATAAGATCTTCAAAGAACTCATGTATATTTTGACAATGTAGTCGTTTTGGGAAATTTGTTGAGATTCAATTCGACAATGTCGGAAAAATTTCTGGGGCTGCAATCAGAACGTATCTTCTTGAGAGGTCACGTGTATGCCAAATTTCAGATCCTGAGCGTAACTACCACTGCTTTTACCTTTTATGTGCAGCACCAAAAGAGGTAGATCAAAGTTAATTACATTTTTAGCTAAATGTTTGTTCTTCAATTGGTATACTCAAGCTCAAGTGTTGCTTCTTTCTCAATTAATTAGGAGATAGAGAAGTACAAGCTGGGAGATCCAAAATCATTCCATTATCTTAACCAATCCAATTGTTATCAATTGGTTGGTGTGAACGATGCAAACAATTATCTAGCCACTAGGCGAGCCATGGATGTTGTTGGGATAAGCGAGGAGGAACAAGAAGCCATTTTTAGAGTTGTCGCTGCTATTCTTCACTTGGGTAATATAGATTTTGGAAATAATGAAGGAGACCATGAATCATCGGTCTTAAAAGATGATGATTCCAAATTTCATCTTGACATGACTGCACAGCTCCTCAGGTGAATGAGAAAAACTATAAATAAATGAAAGATTTGATACCCATTCTAGAATCTCTTGAAACAAAACTCAAACTATTATGACCAACTTCCTTTTGACATGATATTAGACCCTAGTTATTAAGAGAGGTTCCATAATGAACTTTTACTATTCTATTAAGAAACCTCTTAATCAATATTTTTTTTCTTTCCGTTTTAGTCTATAAGTATCCTTTTGTTTTTTAACAAGCATTTTTGTGTGTATGCTTTTAGGTGTGATCCTGAATCGCTGGAAGATGCATTGTGTAAGCGCAAAATGATAACGCCAGATGATGTTATCAAGAAGAGTCTTGATATTAGTGGTGCTATAATTAGCCGGGATGGTTTAGCAAAGACTATATATTCTCGCTTATTTGATTGGTCGGGTTCTAACTCTTCATTTTTGTTCCATTTATACGTACCTTATCACCATTTAAAAGTTAGAATTTATTTTATACCCAGGTTGGTCGACAAAATAAATGTGTCCATTGGCCAAGATCCTAAGTCCAAGTGTCTGATAGGGGTTCTTGATATTTATGGCTTCGAGAGTTTTGAATCTAATAGGTAAGAACTAAGCATGTTTAACTACTCATTTTTTTTTCCCGTTCTCAATATCCTAGATGAATGCGCTTTAATTTTGCACCATCTTCTACAGTTTTGAACAGTTGTGCATCAACTATACTAATGAAAAGCTACAACAACATTTCAACCAGGTAGGATAAAGGATCTACAAACGTCTTATTGAAAATTAAAAATTGACAGATTCTAAAGTATGTTCATGTGTAATAACTTGATATGAGTGTGTGTATTTTGCAATTTGAATCAATTTTTTTTCCTGTTTTTGTTTTCTATATACAGCATGTATTCAAGTCAGAACAAGCAGAGTACACAAAGGAGGAAATTGATTGGAGATACATTGAATTTGTTGACAATCAAGATGTTCTCAGTCTTATTGAGAAGGTTTATATGCATTTCTTACTTCCATTTATGTTTTCATTGCTTTTAGATAAGCTGATGGTGGGTTTTCGCTTTATAATTTTACTAAATCACTGTACTATTACAGAAAACTGGCGGGATAATTGCTTTACTTGATGAGGCATGGTAGGGTTTGCATTGCTGCTAAGTATTGCAACTCCAAGATCGTTGGCAAAATTACCTAGGTTTTCCCTCACTTAGATTTCTATCTATTATATGGTGCAGCCTAGTACCAAAATCAACTCATGAGACATTTGCGCAAAAGCTGTATCAAACATTTAAAGATCACAAACGATTCATAAAGCCAAAGTTGGCTCGATCCGAGTTCGCCATTGTTCATTATGCAGGAGAAGTGAGTATTTCTTATCCATATCTTATTTTACTCGTACATTTTAGTATTCTTGCACTAAAATAGTATCATTTGCATGCATATGTATGGGTTTAGGTACTCTATCAATCCGAACAATTTTTGGACAAGAACAAAGACTACGTTGTTCCTGAACACCAAAACCTGTTGAGTGCTTCACAATGCTCTTTCATACAACGTCTATTTCCTTCCTTATCAGAGGAGACCAGCAAACCATCCAAGTTCTCATCTATTGGTTCTCGGTTTAAGGTCATCTCTTCAATTGCCAAGAGCATTTATTGGCATTTTATGTTCATTCTGTTTCTTATATTTTCCCTGACATGCAAAACTTTACTTAAATGAATCTCGCTTGATGATGCAGCTCCAATTGCAACAGTTGATGGAGATTTTGAACTCGACAGATCCTCACTTTATTAGATGTGTGAAGCCAAATCATGTCTTAAAGCCCTCAATCTTTGAGAATCTTTATGTCATGCAACAACTACGTTCTGGTGTAAGTACAATGATGAGAACTTCCGCATAATTTATACACGCCAATGACCGTAACATGCAATCTTCCTCCTCCTCTTTCGATTTGGGCACACTTAAGATCAAAAGTTATCTTCATAATATTGTTGATGTTTCTTTAGGGAGTTCTAGAGGCAATTCGAATCAAATGTGCTGGATATCCTGCTCATAAGACCTTTGAGGAGTTCTTAAATCGATATAATATAATTGCCCCAGAGGTTTTGACCAGAAGGTGATTATCATCATACACCATATCATATTAGTCATGCTTCACCTTAATTATTGATTGGGCTTTCCCATTTACATTTTGACTATTTTTTTGCTTGAGTAGTTATGAAGAAAAGGTAGCATGCAAATGGATATTAGAAAAGTCAGAGATTACTCAATATCAGGTAGTACAACATGCAAGCTTAGCTATAAGCTAAATCTCGTACAATATATTCAGTAACATGACCTTTACTTGTCTGCATGCAGATGGGGATAACACGAGTATTCTTAAAAGGAAATCAGATGGCAGAGTTAGATGCTCAAAGGGCAAGAATTTTACGAAACTCAGCCTCGGTCATTCAAAGACGAGTTAGAACACGTTCAACACGTAAGAAATATGTTCTCATGCGCCAATCTTCTATTCACATACAATCTCAGTGGAGAGGTGAGTTGGTCAAGCTATCTTTACTTATTTATATTAATAGATGGATGCTCGAATGAATCGTAATGTAAATCATTTTATAGGATACCATGCTCGAAAGTCCTACAAAGAAATGAGAAAGGAGGTTGCTGCTGGTAAAATCCAGAAGAATTTGCGGAGGCAAGTAGCTAGGAGAACATACACGAATATGAGGTCTTCTGCAGTTATACTACAGTCTGCTTTACGAGCTATGGCTGCTCGAGAGTACTTCTATAATAAATTGGTAACCAAGTCAGCAACCAGGATCCAGGTCATTCACGTACCTAGTTCAACTAATTAACTTCAATGCCATTTTCGGTTAGAGTTAGCCTCTTATTGGTTAGTTTTGCCCATCCATGCATGCATATAATTACATTTCACTTATTCACAGGCTGTTTGGCGCCGTCGTAAAGCCGTTCTAAACTATGTGGAACTCCAAAAAATTAATTCCGAAAGAGCTGCTCTAGCTCAACAATCTCCTGTAGGGACTTCAAAAAGCATGCTTGTTGAAACAGAACAAGTCATTCATGAACATGGACAAGATAATGGAGTTGGAGAGAACAAATCATATACTGTAGTTGTAGAGCCTGCAACTTCTCATGAAGGTTCTGATGGTGAAAGAGATAATTCTAATGTCGAAAATTGGAAGGTTAGGTTGCTGATCACATTAGCAAAAGGGAAAGAAGCTATATGATCATAATTCATCCAAATTCTCAAATTTATTTCTTCTATATAGTTCTTGCTTTGGGCAGAGAAGCAACGAGCAGATAATGCAGAAAGAAAATACGAGGAATCTGTGGAATTGTGCGAGAGAAGGCGTGTCAAATTAGAAGAAACAGAATTCAGGGTTTACCAACTTCAAGCCTCTTTCAACAGGTAGTATGATGTTGTTAAGTACAAAAATTAATGACTTGTGGCTAATACTCAATTCGATTTAGTGTGTCTCAGGATGTTAAATTCCATATCAGAACAATTCACAGAGCTGAAAGAGCTATTGAATCATTCTAACAACTCTGCGTCTACTTCAGGAAGCAATGGTATGCACGAGAATCTAGCAAACATGGTGCCTTCTGATAGGTTCTAATACATGAGCAAAATGATTCTAATTTTTTTTCCTACATACCCGATTCCAGCTCCTGCATCTAAGTTTGCTGCTCTCAGAAACCGAAATGCGTTCAGGGCTATAGTGCAAACTCTTACAGAGACAGAAGGCATAGGTGAGTAGTAGTTTCTTCATGGGGTGATAAAGCTGCAAAACTACACATGACTAGAATTGCATTATATATACTTTCCCTTGATTTTTTCATTTTATGCAGGACCAGGGAAGGCCAAGAAAAAGGACGGAGCATTTGATGACTACTTTTGATGAAACACAATTTTGGTCAAAGATATCAACGAGAAGTTATTTGACGTTACTCACTAGTTTAGTGTCGTACATTGAGATTTCAATAGTATTTAGGTGATCTTGCCAAATAGATGGACATAACTTTTATCATGACTCGTGGCTAACATAGAGTACAGTCTAATTAAAAAACTGTACAAAGAATTTTGTGAGAAATCAATATATATCAATATGCAATAATCAGATTACAGTACTGTGAATCATTCCTTTCTTCCTTGTGTACTTTTTCTGGCTAAAATATAGTAAATGGCGTGATCTGCACTCTTCTCCATAAAATGTGAAGGGAACCCTCAATTGTATCGAGGAATGTGTATGAGTTGCAACGACCATGAGAAAGTATACTTGGCGGGTGGTCCAGAACATGGCAAATTTAGCAGCCCTCTTAGCTTCGATGAATATGTGTTGAATGCGTCCCTATCCCACTAGGTAAGATACTCTACATAACGCTTATACATATCTATATATTTTTCAAGATTGTGACTTGAATCTTTATTTTCTAGTAATGGTCAGAATAAGGAAAGTGCCTACTCTAGTCTCAACAACTGATCAAACTCTTCTAACAAACAACATCCCTAATGCGATACATTCTAGTATGATTGATTGTATGTGGATTTTGAAAAGTATCATTAAGATACAATGAAATGTTTGGAAGTATGCTTATCATGGCTGTTGTGTGAAGTAACTTTTGTTTTTGCTTTTCTTTGGTATTGTATGGTTTCGTGGGTTGGATGAAGTTGTACATCTCAAAAATTGTAGGGAAGGTACCTTATAGAAATATATATATATTTTTTATTTTTAGTTAAAGAATAAATACAAAGAGTCTAAGATCTTACTATAGATTTCTTTCTTGTATTATTAGACATACATATGTAATACAAATGGCAAGCAGGGGAGGAATGAGGATTTGATGATATGGGTTCAAAGATTTTTTTCTATAGGTAATTTTCATTTTCTTCAATCTCACATGTTTAACAAAATATGCCATAGAAAACAACCAATCCAACATTCCCTTCTACTCCAACAAATTACCACTAGTTATTCAACAACCATTGTGAAAAAATCCAAACTTCTCCAACTAACTACCATCAACACTTAGTTTAACATTAGAGCCAAATCACTAGCTAGAGCAAGCTTTCCCAAGACAAGATAAGTTAGATCTTGACTACATATAACCTTCATAACCTCCCAGCTTTGTGCAGAGCCTCCAAAACCTTGTTGCATTATTCCAAACAAATATGCCTAATTAACCATGTCCCAAGAAACCCACAGATCTTTCTCATTGCACCTCCTCATGCCACAACATGTATTTCTACTTCAAGCCTTCTTTCCCATCTAGAGAAATCAAAACAGAAACCCACATTCGAACATACACCAGGAGCAAGAGATTGACCATAATGATGAAACGTGAAAATATTTATTATAGAACCATATATTGTGACTCAAAGTACGTACCTTTCCCATCATTATCTTCATAATACACTTAATGATTGATATGCTTACTTCAAATGCATTCTGGAAACCCTTGGATTGCTTATATACGATTGATGTGCTATTGGTAGCGTATTGTGCAATTTCAAGGAAAAGCAGCCTATTGGGCCACTTGGAATCCGTAAGGGACATCGAGGCCAAGTTGTTGAAGCAAGGATTCAAAGACCGGACGTAAAGGAAAAAAGGCATCCACGACACCGTTTTAGTGAAGATAAAAGGCAGCCATGATGTCATTTTTAGAGAGTCGTTCACCTCGTCAGGAAGTTATCCCGGAGCATCCTGATTCGCTGGCCACATGTTTGGAGCTGTTCGATTGACTATGAATCCCTTGAAAATTTTATCCTCAATTCAGCAAATTGGGAATTCCCATCCTAATTTTCACGGTTTGCCTCATGCCCGTGAGGCGCCCTATGAGAAGGACGAGATGATCCTCCAAATCCAGTCACTTGTGTATTATGTGTCCAGGGAAGAATTTTTTGTGTGCATATGCGCATATAATTCAAATCTCGAATAATGTCACACCCTAAGAAAATACAAAGTTCGTCATACTTTGAATTGCTAGTCTGTGCGTTAATATGTGATCTAAGGGAGGCTAGTGTAGGGATTATGAAGGATGTCCTTGTCACGAAACTTGGATCCATCTTGAAATAAAAACATATGGAGTGGTGCTTCCCAAAGCAGTCAAAATCCGGATTTTATCTAAAATCGAAAACTGGGGTAAAATCGGAATCGTTAAATCGAATCGTAGAATCCTAGGATTTTAAGTACCACATAGAAATTAACATATAATAATATTAATAAGGTAAATCATTAATAACACAAAGACATATAACATTTAAAGTGATAATTTTCAAGATTAATGTTCCAAAATCATCATTTTAATTGTTATTTAATGCGTAACTCAAAATAATTTATGAGGAACAGATAGAGCTCATGGGGTTTGGCTCTTGTTTTTCATGTTGTGTCTAGGTAGTTTAACTCAAAGTAGTATTTCGACATCGTCTACTAAGTATGATTTAAAACTAAGAATAAGTGAACTCCAATAAGAATTTTAATGTCATTGGTTTGTTACAAATATATTCATTAATAAATTAATTTGTTAATAATGATATTAATTCTTTCGTACTTACAATATTATGACAACTATTTTACCGATGAGTTAAATAACAGGAAGGGAGAGTGGTTGACCGAACCCTAATTAGGTTATTTTATCTTTTCAAATGTTCTTTTAATAGGAAAAATATATGAGAAGATCCCCATAATTTCCCTTTCCACCGAAACAGTTCTGCTTCTTTGAATTGGCTCAAACTACCTATTTTGTTCACATAGGATCAAAATCTCGATTTTGATACGATTTTAACGATTTTAATCCCGATTTTGGACGATTTTAAGGTCCACCAATTTTATATTAAAATCAGGATCGGAATCCCTAAGTAAAATCCTAAAATCCTAAGATTTTACGATCAAAATCCCGATTTTGACTGCACTAGTGCTTCCTACCATTCCTTGTGAGTTCTCGAACTCCTCCTCATAGGAAGGAGTCTTCTGCATTTAAAGAAAATATGGGGTCAATATTTATCTTTGTAAAATCGATCTCCTACCACTTATAGTCTACTTCAATAGACGATGCTATCACAAATAAAGTGTGTGGTAAAATCCAAGTGTGAGGCGTCCTTCCCATGGAAAACAATTGGTTTTGGAAGAGATACTAGTTCAGTCTTGGTGGGGTAGGTCTATGAGATGATGCTAGTTCCTCTATCGTACAAGTAAAATTTCCACCAGTATGATAGGATTGCCAATTTTTGGATGTGTTTTCGATGGCGCAGATAAAGCTTCTGACACCCCTTGACTTCATTGACCCTCCGCACAATCGAGGAAAAGGAGCAAGCGCTTTTGCTTGATCATGCTTGCTAAGTACAAAAGTACAAGGCGCAAACCTCCTTCTGCATATAAAGAAGCACAAAAAATGCAATGTGGCACGACAAGATCACCTTAATATGAAAAATATCAAAATGACTTCAGTGGGCAAAAATGAAAATACTTCCTAATAAAGATTCATAGGCTTCACCTTAATATTTGTAAAACAAGACTCGAGAAAAAAAAAAAGAACTTCATCTCGTGAAAAGCGAATCATTTTCCTCTTAAGAGGTAGCTTTGAGCATCATTGCCAAGATCGAAGGTTTCTAAGTGCAATGGTTAACCTTGTAAGCTTCTTATGATCCGCTATCTAAGATTGGAAGTCACGTGTCATCGTGAAGATCTAGTAAGGAGAAGGATGTTGAGCCTAGGTTTTTCTTAGGAACAAGCAAAGATCAAGTGTTGGGTTATTTGATGATATGTGGAAATATCTATTATGGACCCCGGATTGTGACTCAAAGTGCATACATATTTCCATCACTATCGTCATAATACATTGAATTATTGCTATGATTTCTTCAAGTGCATTCTAGCAACCCCATAATTGCTTTTATAGGATTGATGCGCTTTTGGTAGCATTTTGTGCATTTTCATGGAAAAGCAGCCTAGTGGGCCACTTGGAAGCCGTAAGGGACATCCAGCCCAAGTTGTTGGAGTAAGGATTTGAAGACTGGATGTCAAGGAAACAACGCTTTCCTTCTCTACTATGTAAATTTTTGAGTAGCGTAGATTTACTTTTCTGCGCCTGCTTTACCTTTTCAAAATCCTACGTTCTGCAAAAGCGGCGGATCCTCAACTCCTAAACCAACCTCTTCTTCAATAGAACCGTGCCTCGCTTATTAAGTAAGGGTTCTGTGAAGCCCCAGGAATAAGATCCTAGCCTTAGGGCTAGATAAATTTTGTAGACACTACAATCGACACCACAATCTAAGTAAAACTATTTTTTCATTTTATTAAGGAAAGTTCAAAAAGTGAAATTGAGTTGAAAAATTATGCATTTTTCATAAAAGAAAGAATGTAAAGCTTGTGTTTCCAACTTTTTGGGAATAAAACGAAGTGAGAAATTTAGTGCTTAAATTTTTGGGAAAAGAAAGAATGGGAAGTTTTGGTGCTTTGATTTATAGGAAGAGAAAGAAGTGGAAAATTTTGGTGTTTTAAACTTTCTGGAGAAAAAAAAAGAGGGAAATTTGGTGATTCCAAGTTTTGGGAAAATAAATAAGGGGTAGTTTTGGTGCTTTATAGGAGAGAAAGAGGTGGGAAATTTTGGTGTTTTTATTTATGGATTTTTTTTTACATATGATGGTTTAGTAGTTTAATTAATTATCAAAATATTTACATATGATAATTTAGGAGTCTAACATTTAGTGACTAAAATATTGTCTATAACAAACCTTACTATAGTCTTATAGAGCTTGACTAATTTGATATAGTAGATTTGAGAACATGTAATAAGTTATCCTATCTTAAATGCATATATTAGTTCACCTTTGGGTGGTAAACATAATCTTACTTGCTATTTCTCCCACCATATTTTCATTTAGGTGGGAAAATTTCCCCCCGTATTTTGATATTTTCATCCTAACGTTTCACTTCTCCAATGTTTTCCCTCACCACTTTTCGTTCTTCTCATTTTGCTTTCCCTCTATAATTTGTCCCTACCAAAATGAAATTCTAAGGAGGAAAAATTTCATCCAATTCGACGTACCAATGTTTCAATATCATCTATTATTAAGCCCAATTCCCATCTCCCATAAGCTGATGTTTCTTACATTAGTGTCTTGTCTAGATTTTACATATGTAAATAAGTTAGGATTATTAATTGACAACGCTTGCAAAATTTAGCCATGAAAGGTTTCGTGTCTTGAAGGTCAGGTTGTGGTGGATGTGAGCAAGTCCAAATGCACTTGTAGGAGGTGGAATTAACAGGTTTGCCATGTCCTCATTCCATACGCTGCATATGGTAACTATCCAAAAAGGTTGAGAACTACGTGGACAAGTGTTATGAGGTTGGATCTTACCTTGCAGCTTATTCTGGTGAGGTGGAACCAATGGTTGGGCCAAAATCTTGGCTGCCAAGTGGGAGGCAGCCTGTGTTGCCACCGCCGTTGATTGAGGAGACAGTAGGGAATGATAAAAGAAAATGAAAGTTTAGAGATGGAAATGAGAGAACGAGCAAGAGGGGGGGGGGGGGGGGGGGGGGGGGGGGGGGGGGTGGCTATCAAGTGTAGTGAGTGTAAGCAGACTGGACACAATTAGTCTTTCCATTAAAAAAAGATGAAGGGGAAAGCTCAGCTATTCAAAGATCGTCAACAGAGGTTAGTTTTGTGAGTTAGAACTTGTTTTTGTTTGGATTTAGTTCTCATGCTTATGTTCTTTGATATGTAGGGGAACACAAATCCTATGGGATCAAGTGGTGTTGTTCTACAGTGGATGACTGATGCATGTTGCTTATTGTATAAATCAAATTATTAAGTTATTTGTAAATTGTTAGGACTCTGACCATTTGCTGCTGAACAGAGGAGCAGACGAACTCGTCCATTGAATCCATTAAGTCAAGCTGAAACAAGGTCTTTTCCTTCCCAAGAAGGTAACCAAAGAATGAGTTCAGCTTCTCTATCATTCTTTGCACAAGGTGAAGAGAGGCCAAGCAAACTTCCTATTGTACACAGAGCATGTCGTGATGAACCAAATGGAGGAAAAGAGTAACAAGAGAAAGGGAAGATCACTATGAGATGGTTAAGATAGTTTGGAGGCAACATGACTGAAATGAATAGTATTGTTCTTTATCTTTCCAGCAACTTAGATGAAACACATATGGCTTTTGGATGGTTTGTCTTTCCAGCAACTTAGATAATTTTGAACTCACTTTTGGGTGGTTTTTGTTCCAGCAACTTAGCTGATTTTGAGTTGGCTTTTGGGTGGGTTTTGTTCCAGCAACTTAGATTATTTTGAGCTGGCTCAAAATCTGGTTTGTGTTCCAGCAACTTAGATGAAAACAAAGATGGCTTTTGGGTTTGTGTTACAACAACTTGCATCATTTTCACCTGGTTCATGTAAACACCTTCCATATTTCCAGGCTTCCCCTGTTTGTTAATGAACAAATTGCAGGCTTACTTTGTTTGTTAATCAGATTTCATATTTCTAGGGTTCCAACATTATGAAGATAGACAGTTGAAGTTAAACAACATGCACATTTTCAGGTTCCCACTTCATTACGTGTTCCATTATGGAACTAACCATACATGTGCCCATTTCATTACACGTTCACAAACAGATTCCCACTTCATTACATTCTCCCAAACAGGTAAGACATCACACTCCTTGCCAATAGAACTCCAATAGCAATAAAAAAGCATTTGACGATTTCATTCACAATTGGGTTGTGATTCATCCTCTTCTCCACCTCTCTGATCCTCTTGTGTAGGCCAAGAACAAGACGCGCTTAATATGATCTTCAACTGGTGGTTCGATACAACGAAAATAATTACATGCATTTGGTCGCTACAAATAAAAAAAGAGATGAAGGAAGTAGAGATTACAAATCAGTGACAATGTTTGGAAATATGTCGTGAAGGCCAAATTGAAGAGCAAGGAAATTAGGTTAGAGAATCGTACCCCATAGTTGGCACAACTAAAGAACCGTCTTCCAGGATTAGAATCAGTCCACGAGGTCCGGAGAACCGTCAGAATAGCGCACCGACACATTGGACATGTTGCCACCATTTCGAACTTGGGGGAGGGAGCCGAAACCAGTAGAAGAGAAGGAAATTGAACAGAAGAGGAAGAAATTTAGGTTAGAGAAGAGAAGAGTTGAGAAAAGCTTTGGGAAGAGATACCTTTTATTGGATCAAAATGAGGAAGAAGAGTGTTGTTGGGAATTTAAGACGATAAGGAAGAGCGGTAGAAAGAGGTAGCCCTGGCTTTCGTGTGGCGTGACTCAGCACCTATGCTGACATGGAATGACAACGTGTCATGGGAAATTACAATTTGAGTACTTGCCTTTAGCTGTTTGGGCGAAAATGTTTACGATGCAACCATAACGTGATTAGTATGCATTAGTTGAAACAAAAACGAAAATGGTAAGCGTGCAACAGATGACACAATTAAGTGGCATCCGATGCATTTAACCCTGGTCAATAACAATAACTCAATGCATAACCCAGTCACGTGTCTTTTCTTTCCTCGGAAAGCCTTTAATTTTCCCTCTTTTAATCTTTAACGGACGATTTCCCACTCGTTTGAAGTCGAAATTTAAATATTTTTGCACAGTTAGATCAGATTAATTGTGCTCTTCAAAATAATATCCACTTTGATATTTTTTGAACAAAAAAATTGAGCTAGTTATTACCAGTCTATACTATATGGTATTGACTGGTATTAAATAAGAGCATACCATATGGTAGGAAAAATACCACCCCGTACCAGGGTGGTATAGTATGATAAGGAGTTGGCAACGAGAGGTATGAAATTTAATGGGCTAATACCACTACAACACCCGAACTATCCGGAAAATGCCACTTGTGTCCTATTGTTTTCAATATTCCATTCATGTCCTGAACTATGGTACTTTGTGTCATTTGTATCTTGTCAATTTCGTTGACCGTTAAAGATAACGGTTGACCAAACGGTGGTCAACGCGAAGTTGACTTTTGTTGATGTGGCAAAAAATGTGGCTGCCACATAGATGCCACGTCACTGATCTCATATTTTTCTAATTCAAATTAAAAAAAAATTGAGTTATAATTAAAAAACTGTAAATTCAATTATATTATTAAGCCAAAATAAAAAAAATAATGAAAAATCCCACTATTCTTCTTCCCTACCGATTCACCGTCTCTTTCTCTAAAAAATCTCGAAGACGATTCCGATTTCCAGTTCCAGGCAATGAAGTCGCCGCATCACCTCTTTCTTCCCCCAATCCGACCCGGCAATGAAGACGATTCCATTTTCCATTTTCCAAGCAATGAAGCCGCCGCATCATCTCCTTCTTCCCCCAATCCGACCCGGCAATGAAGACGATTTTAATTTCCCAGATCCAATCAATGGCGAGATTTAGGGTCTCTCAGCTCCACTTCAATGGCAGATTTGACTATGTCGCAGTCGTGCTTCAGGGACTTCTTCGTTAAATGGACTCTGTTCTTTGCCCGCTGACTCCAAATTTGAAGTCGATTTGCTTCCCATCATTCTCAGCAGATCGCCTACAAGGCCACCATCGAGACCAAAGATTGATAATGAAAAGAATCAAGAGAAATCCCCTCAAATTTCTGAGCACATAGAGGAAAAGAGAAACAGATCGATTGATGCATAGATAACAGGAGGAATCGGAGGGGCAGAATCATCAAGATTCAACAGTGGTCAATCCGACGAATCTGGGTGTTGCGCTCTGCTGCGGAGGAAGAACGACGGTGTAGAGAGCCCGTCTGTTCGCCGACATTCTCCTCTCCTGCGGCGGTGTAGAGAGCCCGTTTGTTCGCCAATCGGACGGATCTGGGTGTTGCGCTCTGCGGCGGAGGAAGAACGAGGTCAGCTTGCCGGTTCTGTTTCCGCAACCGTGGCTCCGGTGGATCATTGTGAATGGTGGTGAACGGATTTTAGACAAGAAAATCCTCCATGGTGGGCGCTGGCTCCGGATTTTGATGTATGGAGTTGGGACTCTAGAGCGGCGACGGTGTTGGGCGATAGATCTGTGTGTGTATTGGAGAATCCAGGGAAGAGGCTCTACAAACCCTTCTGTGGCGGCGGTGGCAATGAGGATGAGAGGAGGTATATTTTGGCCGGAATTAATTTTTGGGGAGGAGGGGATGCAAGTCACGACACGGAAATGGGTGGGTGGGTGTGGGTATTTTCTTTTTAGTTTATTTAGTTACCTTTTTTGAAAAAAAAGTTCTTATTAAATAAATTCCATGTCAGATGCTGACTGGATTTTCCATTAAATATTAACAGTCAAAACTGGTCAATACTAACGGAAAAATAGTTCAGGATACAAATGGAATATTGGAAACAATAAGACACAAGTGGCATTTTCCGGATAGTTCGGGTGCTGTAGTGGTATTAGCCCAAATTTAATTAATTAATTAAACTATCATAAGACTCAATTGTTATACTTTACTTCTCGCATCAATATAGTATTACAACTCAATTGACTAACTCTAACAGTTTTACCATTTGTTGATTCATTGTTTATTGCATATACATTCTCTCTCCTAGTTCTTTCGGTCTCATCGGTCATGTATATCTTCGTGATATCCGAGGAGAGGTGTGTGCACACTTTTAATCGATTGGCACACTTTTAACCAAACCAAACTAATTATCTCAATTAACCAAATACCGCCGGTTAAAACGGTTACCACACCAATTTAACACCCCTAGACATCCCCACCTGCTAAGATGACTTCAATGAGAAAAACAATATGTCCCTTTCAAACAAACTTTTTACACGATGGATGATTTAACATAAACACGCCTCAAATCGAGAGGCAAACAAACTTTTTACGGCCAACCAGCGTCCACGAATTCGTTTATGTATTGCAAGCTGAAAACTATAAAGCAGTCTGGAAGGATATGCATGTTGTAACAACATTACAAAATAGGCTGAGGGCTTCTGCAATCTTGTTCACCTAGTAAGATAGTATACAATGAGGAATACTGCCACAAAAGATGCGACTAGGGTGAGCATTCTCCTGCTTGATTTTGTTTCAAACACCTAAGCCACATTAAACCACCATCATCAGCAAATTGTTGCTAGCAGGTAAACGTTAGGAAATACCAAAAACAAATCTGAAATCCCTGTTATTGCAGAAGTGATCAAGCGTCCACATACCATCTTGAAACGGTCCATTGTTCCTGATAGGACTCCTCGGGATGAATCCATATCGTTGCCCTGAATGCACACAATCGGAGGTTACTACGTGGATAAACACAAATATAGAGGACATAGACCATCCCATGAGAATTTTATAACTGAACGATGATTACCATTCTGTCTAGCATGCGGTTGTGGCCTTCCACCTCTTCATTTATATCACCAGATAGCTACCAATGTCAAAACATTTTTTCAGGATGCCGCCAATTTTCCAAAAAAAAAAAAAAACAGAATACATTAAAAACAAGTAATTTCCGCTTTCAGGTAGACTACTGGCTTCATGCCATTGATCAAGCAGTCTACAACTTCCAACTTCTGGGTTGTGACCCAACTATTTTAAGACTGTGTTCCGTTTGGCATCCAACAAGAACTACTCTTGCTCATTCAAAAATCAAATCATGGGACTGTGAAAGTCAAAAGCTGAGAAGCCCATGGAATGAGAATTTATTGCGGGCGAGTCAGAAGAAATTAATGGCTCAATTCAATTCAGGAAAATTGAACATCAAAATTATACATCGTCAATCAGACTGCTATAGGTTAAGAAACGCATAATCATCAGAGTTTACTGGCTGAGCAATATTACTAACCCGCTTCAGGAGACTGACTCTGTCTTGCAAACCATCAAGAGCACTTTCATTATCTTGCTCGTCAATTTCATGGGAGTAAGAAGCAGAAGCCCTGATACCACCCTCCTCAATTCCATCAAAAAGTGCAGTTCTGTTGTTCCGGATGTCCCTGGATAAGGGTATAACTTGAGTCAATAAATGGAATAATACATCACAGCAAGGAGTACACATTTGCTCTATGTTGAGTGATACACCTAAACCGATAGTAGCTTCAGGAAAGGCAACTTATAAGACGTCAGAATGTATAGTATGTTCGGGTACCCTTCTTGCACGAACTACATTTGCAGGTTCATTGTCAATTTAAAACAAAAAGCACCTATATCAAGCTGAGCTAAAAAATAGGTAGATCCCCAGAAATAAAACAAACACAAGTCTATTTGCAGCACCTTTTTACGCACAACAGGATGCTTTCGAAGACAATTAGGCGGTATTTTCAGAAATAATATTATCTAATAGCTCATTAGAAAACTATGTCATTTGAGAATTGCGAGACACAGTGGAAGGGACTGTCCAATTTACCACATTATCAAACACGTCATACTATTTTTTATTTCAGAAGATTCACGCTAATACTTTGTGCTCTACAACTTCTGGATAAGTTAAAGATACAAGATGATGTTAATAGCAAGCCTTCGATGTGTACAGCTGGACTAGAGTGAAGAATGTGAATGCATCAGGCCAAGAACAACAAACCACCACGAGAAGAATCCATTTTCATCCTGTGTTTGTGCACCTATCAATTTGAAGGACGGCATATGATTAACCACACAAAAAAAAAAAAAGAAACTTATTCCCAAGGTGTTTCTTCTATGCGCCTCATCAGATATTGAATGATTTAGTGGACCATATAACCAAAACGAGGAGGGAAATGCTTAGCTCCTGGACACAGCTTCTACATGCTCAACCAAAATCAAACTAAAATCTGCAACTCCTAAACATATCTCTAGCATCACACTCATGAAAGATGATCAAAGGAAGAATCGATTAACTTCTGCGCCACTAAAACACGGGCTTTCCAGATCAAAAGAGTGCCCCAGAACATTATTCGCAGAGAGAAAATCATGCCCCAAGTAGAGGAATCGACATATCGCAGGCACTGAATTCGCGTGGTACTACTAATCTACAAATTGCAACACCCACAAACACAGGGGGAAAAAAAACCTCTGAGCCGCCAATACAACAAACAGATCCCTAGACAAGCCGTGAAGATTCATACAGAAGACAGTGTCAAACACAGGAGAGGAGAGCAAGAAACGAACCTTCTGGAATTCATGGCTGGAACAATCAAAACACCGTCGCCACTCTATCTCTCTATTTATTTAAAGGGTATTCCGCTCTAGTTATCTTCGCTTCCGGGACCGCTTCTAAATGGGCAGAAATTGAAGGCAGAGACGTCAAAGAGAGGGAAATTCGTAATTGAAACATTGGAATTACGCAAATGAGACGGATGGTTACAGGAGGAGCGCCGATCTAGATCTACAAAAAGATCGAAAAGGAATTACAGCAAAGCTTACAGGAGGTTTCTTTCGTCTTCTTCTAGGCCGATGGGGAATGAATTGGAAGTTGGAACGGAACTCCGAGACGGGGAAACGAGATCCGACTATTGCTGCCCACAACAGTGCGTTTAAGTTCTAAAAATATTCGGGTGAACTACTTTTTCACAGGTGCCGTAATTTGCAAGTGTGGAAGGGAAAAAAAAAACTCTGGTACGATTTGTCGATTTCCCGGCTGCTCTGGTTCACTGTTGTGGGCCAAAGCCGGCCCAGAAGAGATGAGAATGGCACTACAGACACCTCACCCAGTTTGACAAATCTCTCAATCAGCTGCCTCAAGTTCGCCATTGATCCCGGACGGTCATCAAAGTTCTTATTTTCTTTTCAAGTGCCAACCTTTCTTCTTAACAGCACCAACTATTGTAAACGGAGTTTGGATTGTAGGAGAGAAAACATTTGGAGGATTAAGAACTTAAGATCCAATAAACTGACAGAAAAAAAAAGGAACTGATTATTACAGTGCATAACCCCCCCTTTGCCTTTTACAAATGCATGATTATTGAACATGAAGTAGAAACAAGAAATTAATGACTGTACATTATTAAGGTTGCAAAATTTACTGCCCAGCTAACATGGGGTGTGGCAGTGATGGGTAATGGCTACTTCGTCATCTGAAAATGACTTCATCCCGAGCACCAGGCAAGCCTTTGAGTACGTCCCGCAGAGCGTACTGATGGCTGTCGCATTTGTGGTCTGAAATTATGTTGTTCGACAAAATTATCTTCTGGAAATGCTCACCTGGCTGCCTCTTCAACAATGTGAAATATTCCAAGCCCCTGCTGCTGCTGCTGCTGCTGAGATCGACGTTCCGTTTGAGATAGTATACGGACCCTGGCACGAACAACTCCTCTGGCACGATATTTGTGTGTCCTTCCTTTTCATTGATATCAGCGTTCTCTGTGGCAGCTTTGGAGGTCAAAGCAACACGAGGTGCCTTCCTGGTAGGAGAATCTGCCAAAGGTACCAAAAATCAGCCTTGCAGAACAAAAAGAAGACATTGTACGAAGTTTAAGTGGATAATGTTCTCATACAGACAGCAGCAGTGCAGTACCCATCATATAACATGGTGCATATCCTAGTGTCTACCTCTATTTTCTGCCATGCATTCAACAACCAGTACTATCGGAAGGGCCCTAGGCGCTCACCCATCTGTACCAGACATCTATTGTAGTCAGTCAGCTGAAAGTTGTCTACAGGTCTAACCATACGCTCCCTGGCAGCAGAAAATTTTCTAGACAAATTGAAGATTTCAGAGACATCATCCTACTACTTATGGGAAACCCCCGACTTCCCAATCCCGTCATCCAGAATAGCATATCACATTAACATAGAGATGAAAATCACTGTTTCGATCACAGGCTTTTTAATCTTCACCCTTGTTGCAATGCAATCTCAGCTGGGATCAATGCAGCCAAGCCAAGCACATGCTTGCATTGTCAAAGAGCCACAGCTAGCAGCTGAAGCAAAGAGGCTAAAGCAGCTGCAGCTTGAAGAAAGGGAAAAAGAACGAATTGCATTGAGCTGGATAAAGGTAAAAGCAAGACTGAAGGACCACAGCTGAGGTGGCAGCTCAACGCCATTGACTCTGCTGCTTGTAGTAGGAGCAAAAGTGAAGCTGTGTATTCTTGATGGCTTTTCCATATTTGGCTTTTTGTTAGCATAATCTAAGTTTATTTGTTAATCTATAAATGTGTGTTATGTTTTTCTTAAGTTATAGTGATGAATTGAAAGGATATGAAATGAAAATAAATGAAGCACACAGAATGCATGGCTGGCACTATCCCAAAATTTGTTCAGTTTTTACTGTTCCTTCAGTTTTCTCAATTTAAGTGTACTTTTCTGTTTACTACAACCCTAATCCAAAAGAAAAACATAAATCTTATGTCCAAATGCTCAACCGACATGTCTATCTTATGCAGCATAAATATCCTATACCCTTCTACAGAACAGGGTGAAAAAACTAAACAGAAAAGAAGACGACAACAGTAGAGTTTCTATCTCGAACAAGAAGATTTCGGCAAGAAAGCCAAACAGCGAAGCACTCACTTACCAGGAGAACTCTTACCCCAAAACTTAGCAAAGTCAGCCAGCTTGCTAGCCACATCTTGAACTGAAGACACAACTTGCTTTGCGTTGGTGACCATACCTATAACGCTTTTCCAGTCTTCTTTCTCAATTACACTGGTCCTGTACATAATGCAGATTGTCTCATTGATAGAAGCTACAAGACAGTCAGTATGCACTCTGTAATTCAAATTCCTAAATATAGCTAGCACATTACTCTTCTAGTAGTCAATGAAGGTCACACACCATGAAACGAAAACCCAACTGTCTGATAACCCCAACCACCTTTTGAACATAAAATAGGAAGTGTAACTAAACACACCTAAGTTACGAGCTACATGTAGACAATCTTATATAGTCCCAATGTGAAGTGGGTAACATAAATTTCAGATCAACTGATTTCCATTTTCTATGGAATTTCCATAACTTCTCAGCCTAGACTTGCATATTTCGCTGCAGTGTGTTCTATGAAACACGAAAATGCGGCATCTGCAACAGAAATTTACCAATCAGTTTGAAGAATTTCATTCCGCAATCGTGCCAAAGAAGCTGCACTTAACCTAGGTACGATATCATCCTGCAAACATGTGAAATTTAAATAATAAAAGACTACACTACAAGGAAACCAGAGACAACAGTTACTATTCAAAATAAACTTTAGACATTTGTCTGAAACCAATGGACAAGGCAGAAGATTTCTTTCGACTAACATTGGTTAAAGATCAACCACTATCAGCTTACCTGCATTACAACATTAGAAACGAAATCTGAACAACTTTCAGCAAGTTTGCTGGAGACGCATGGTGGGGTAGCATACCCAACAGCAGAAACAAGCTCAGGAGAAAATCCAAGTTCTTCATGCGAACATCTGCGGAGCATGATTGCCAGCAAAGAAGCAATGGCACCTCCAAGAGAATGACCCACTACCCTAAACCTATATCCCTGTAGATGATTCAGTTTCAATAAAAAAGAAAACTTGCATTGAAAATGCATGGAAAAATCTGCATGGAAAATAAACAAGTGAACTACACACATCATGAGTCTCCAAGTACTTCCTTATGGTTTTCATCTCATGTTTAAGAAACCAACGAGCAGCTTCAGCAGTGCCAAAATGGGTTGAATAACCCTCAATAGTGACGTCATCATCACTTGACGAAACAATATCAGTGATGAGATCATATACTGTATTAGTACCACGAATTCCCAAAATCACAAGCTTCTTGCGTGGATCAATGCCAATGTAGTATCCAGGCCTCATCACACTAGAATCTTTCACATATTTGAGAATATTTTTCTCCCGGAGCATGCTGTGCCGGATAAGACCAGAAATATCACCCTTATAACAGCCTTTTGCCAACTCAAGGTGATATATTAGATCTTCAATCTGAGCAATGAGAAGATATGAACCTAAATTAGCAAGGGACAAATATTACTTTCCAAAGATCAAATTCAGACAAACATTGTAGGAATACAAGATTTAGGCTTTACTATTGCTTCAGAAGAGACTTGAATCCCCTTAACATCCTCAAACGCATTCAAAGAACCCTGACGAAGATATAGAAGATACAAGCCAATCGTAAAATCACTCAAGGTCCAATCCTCAATTCCAATCTTACTCCTCTGAATGCTAGAAATTACTTCTGAAATAGATCGACCACTTGGAGGGACTTTGTTTCCAATCCCACTCCCTGTCAGTTTTCAATCAGAACAACATCCAATTCAACACCTAAACCTAGCTTAGAGAAAAATGCACAAGAGCTTTCAAAAGGTCACAACTTTACCAACCTCCAGGTAGCGCCCACCTGCAGAATTGCAAGGCTGGTTCAAGGGTTTTTGTGAACCAAACAGGCTCCAGCTTCCATTTATTGGAGCCTGCGTCGTTTTCACTGCTAGCGGTAGATTTGGTGCGCATGGGCCTGGAAGAAACCTGAGGGGAGTCCGTCGCTTCTCTTCTCGTAGGGTCTGATTCCTGGAAAGTATCCCCGGAGGTTCGCGATTGCCAGCGCCGCAGAACGTGGTCGGCTAGCCGCCTGTAGGATTCTTGCCTCGCAACTAAGTACTTGGCGTAGTCTGCAAATTAACATCACTTCAATTTAAGTGAAGAGAGAAAATGGCTATGGCGGTTGAATTCTATCAGGCAGAAATAAGAACTCACAGCTATCGTGGAGGAACAGCTTCCATAACTGATTAATCATTGCCAGAAATATTTGAGAAACTAGCTGACAAAGCGGATAGTTCTGGCGGCAAAGGCGGTGGCCGACGGGAAGAAAAGAGCTGGTGCTGACTACTGAGTCGTTGTTAAACTGTGGCAGTTTGGGGTACGAAACCGACCGCCGACCACCGGAGAGGAAAAGCCGAACTGAGGTGAAGGCGACAGCGGTGCAGAGAGCGGGCGAAGAGGTAGCAGATGGCAGCGTGAAACGAAGGGAGAGCTGTTAAACCAATTACCGCCTCTGTATGAACTACAGACACTACAAAAGAGATGAAGCAGCGATTATTTAGTAAATTATTGCGAACTCCAAGGTTACTTTTGTCAATTAATAGACGATTTTTTCCCAACATACCACGGCGGATTATCATGGTAAAAGAAACCGTACCGGACGTCATATCGGATCCATCTAGGAATGGCAATGGGTCGGGCGCGGATAGTGCATATCCGTTACCCTATCCATAGTAGTTCGGGTTTTACCCATACCCATACTCACATGTGAAATGGGTAGAAAATCAAAACCATGGCCATACCCGTTCGGGTTTCGGGTATCCACGGTTATCCATGGGTAATAATTTCTCTTAACCAATATGTTAACATTCATACGTATTCTCACATTACGTAAGAGGAAAAGTACGACAATAATTCACTAGGATGAAGAAAATTAATTAAAACTACACAATTTCATGAAAATATTATATTTATATGCTAAATATAAAATATGTTAGAGAAAAATATTGATTATTTCTAGACAAAATACATATGCATGTGTATAATCGGGCGGGTTCGGGTTGGATAGTGAGAAACCCATGCCCACCCATTACCCGCAATATTCGGGTTCGGATTGTACCCGTACCCACTAAATGTCCTTCGGGTTCGGGTTTTACCCTACCCAATTAGGCCGAATTCGGGCGGATATCCACGGTTACGGATATTTTTGCCATCCCTAGATCCATCTGTGGTATGGTATTTTGTAGTACGACCGTGATTCAACCATTGTGTAATGGTAAAATATAGTTTTTGTAATTAAATAATATTTTTTTTGTTAAAAACTGTACCGAGGTATTTAGGATACCGTCTCGGAGTAATACCAGAATAAAACCGGAATATACCGGTTAACAAACCTGAATAAACTAATAGGCATAAGTAATATAAAATCAACAAAGTGCAGCATGAATAAACTAATAGGCGTTCTTGAGCAGATCGAGCAGCGACGCGACTGAGGAGGAGAGAACTTGGCGAGCTCCTTCCTGCCACCAAACCCTAACCTCAGACGAGGAAGGACATCAGAGAAGAGGAGCGGCGGAGCGCAGGGATCGGCGCCAGTCGCCAATCGCCAGAGAAGAATAGAAGACGAGCGGCGAAGAGGTGGTCGCGGGTTGCGGGTCACCGGTCGCGCGTCCCCACTGCAGTCGCCAATCGCCAGACGGCCAGAGGAGAGGAGGAGAAACAGCAGGCGGGGCTGCGCTGGGGAAGAAAGATGCGACGAGAGGAAAGGTCAAAAGGGCTCCCAAATTAGGTATGCGTTTTTGGCCTTTTTTATTTTTATTTTGAGTATAAAACGGCGACGTTTTCCCTTCCTGTAAACCCACCGCCGGCCAGACCAAAGCCTGCCGGTTTTTCCTTTTGTACCGGTTAAGCTGGAAAAACCGGCCGGTCCGATATTCTTATACCAACCAGCCTACCGTATCGCTCTTGGTCCAATTCCTGGTTGAACCAGTTGAACCGGCCTGTACGATCTGGTTTCCTGGTCCATGCTAATTATCATAAATATTTCATTTTGTACGTTTCGGTAACATAAGTTTGAGAGGATAACGAAATGGTCATTCCGTCCATCTCCATCCAAAAAATTGTTAGTTTCGTCCAGTCAACACGTCATGTCACTTAAAATATTAATAAAATTTTTAATAAACATACCACACTTACTAATACAAATTTTCAAAGGGTTATAGGTATAATATGCCCTCTACTAAGACGTTTTATCAAACATGCCCCTTTACTATTTTTTTACATCAAATATGCTCCGGTACTTTGAAAAAATTATCAAGCATATGCCCTTTTGTTAAAATTTCCATTGAAAAAATCGGCAATCATGGTTGAATTGAGATTTAGACGACCCGACATCAGCAAATGGGAGGGAAAATGTCAGTTTTGTCCCCTGTTTTATTTCCCTGGGTCTTTTCAAAGTGAAATTATTTGAATGATTTGATTATACAAAAGAACCAAAAAATTTCTAAAGTGAATTTATTAGGGATATTTTTGTCATTTGTGTCGCTCAAACTAAGTTCAACATTGGTTAACGGTTTTTGAATGAAAATTTTAACAAAAGGCATGTTTGATCATTTTTACAAAGTACATGAGAAATGTTTGATGTAAAAAATAGTAGAAGGATATATTTGATAAAACGTCATAATAAATTAGCATATTATACTTATAACGCATTTTCAAAATACTATACTTACACTAATGTTTCCCAAAATAATATAGATGTAGTGATCCGCTTGACTCCAAAGTGAATTAGGCAAAAAATTCTACTATGGCATACAAAAGCGAACTACGCTGTTCGTTGGAAAGAGAAGCAAAGAAAGAGTTTTTCGCCTAGAGCTAAAGCGATCCAAATAGATTGCGCTGGAGAAAAGTGATTGGTGCAGACCGGATGATAGCGGTGTTCAAATGGTTACTATGGTAATTATCAAATCAAATAAGCATAAATTTTACTAATTATGGAATACAATATCATCACCAAACCGTCCAAACTAATACAACAACCAAATTAACTAAATTAAAGTTTAATCGGTTTGGTTAATTGGTGAACCAAAATAACCAATATAACATCACATTATCATTAAGTGAGAAAAATTTCCAATTAGTGCATCAATTTGCAATTATATAATGAATAACACATAACAATCCACATAATTATAGTTAACCCTTAACGTAAATACTTGTAACAAATACAATTATATTACATTTGACTCTTGAGCGGTTATGCAAAATATTAAGCATGTGTATATAATATATATTAGATATATGGCTAATTATTTAACTGGTTAGTTTGGTTTGATTGGTTTGGAGTGTCTGAAAGCAAACCAAACCACATAAACCAAACAAGTTAAAAAATGTAACCAAACCAGTTATCCAAATTAACCAAACCAAAGTATCCAAATACTACTGGTTAAAAGGGTTACCACGGTAACCACACCGTTTGAACACCCCTATCGGACGATGTGAATCGCTAAGAATAACGTGATGCACAACTCGTGGCATTGGATCCTGTGCTTTAGAAGTGATCCACGACCCAAAGTGCTGATTGGGTCTGTTTCTAGCGACGCGGATTGCTGGGTAGAAGAGCGGACAACTGTTGATCGTGAAAAATATATGCGGCTTGCTTGGTTTGCTAGACAATGCTGCAAACTGCTTCCTCTCAAAAAATTATAAATACCCCATCACTTGCATCATCACTCCACTCTTCTCCCATGCTTCTCTTCCACTACCAAAGGAAATCATAGAATGCTCTGTGGTTTCGGTTAAAACAGATCTTCCACACCATAAAATTTATCCTTAAGTTGGTTACCTCACCTCCTCAAAACTCGTGACAAACCTATGTTGAACCTCTCCAAAAAATGGCCTAAGAAGCTCTAAGGGAGATTGAAGATCTAGATTAGATTTTTGTATTCTCTCTCTTCTCTATGGATACTTCCCTTCACTTAGGTTTTGAGTAATCCTAGCTATGTTTGTTTGATTGGATGATTGTATGAGTACTCTCTTTTGATTATCTTGAGTTCATATACAATCTATACATGTTTAGATGTTCAATTCTGCTTAGTCGAGATTATTGATTCTGCTTTGTATCTATGAGAGGAAAAACCTTATTAGATCAAGAGAGCACCCTAGATTAATAGTAGGCGTTTGATTGCATGAATAGTGAATCAATTTCTTGCTATATAGCGATTGACAACCTCATTCGATAGAGGAAGTCTAGTGAAGAACGCCTTGATCAGTTGTTCTAGAGAATGATACATCTCTCTAAGCAATCCATTCAAGAGGGCCTTGATTGCTTTAGTTGAGACTCAAGGTCCAGTCAAGGACTCTCCGCACTGTGAATGAAAGTGAATCAAGTTAGAGATCATCAATCATTAATCTGGCTAGTGACTAGGGGGAATCATACCTAAATGAGTTCTCAACCTCTAATTAATCTAACCTTAGTTTACTTTGTTAGAGTAGTTGTAGTTCCTCTATCTTAATATGTTCTGTTGAATAATAAATTGAAGTTGAGTAATAGTAAATCTAGAGGCCTATGGATTTGATATTTATTACTTGTGCCACTATATTGCAGTCCCTTTCATTGGTTACACTTGACTATTGTTAAGAGTTGTGTTTTAGTGAGTCAAATTTTGGTGTCATTGCCGAGGAACTTTATAGATTATTAGGAAAGACAGAAGTTTGTTAATTTAGTTTTTGTTTATATTGTTTTTTATTTTCCACCCTTTCTTTTCACTTGAGTGTTTTTGTTTTTGGTTGTGCAGATTTGAATCATGAATCCCAGCTGCTTTTCTGACTAGTGGGAGTATCAATCAACACCAGATTGGTGTTACCCCTAAGCCTCATAGGATAACCAGTACAGAGAAGACTACGAATTCGGGTTTCAGTAAGAACAACCTCCCTTCTACAATGCACAACTAGACCTTGGGCATTTCAAGAACCACCTCCTTATCAAGAAGATTTCTTTCCACAACTAGAGGGTCCATCTGAGTTGGAGTTAGTTGTGACAACCTTCATGAGCCATTATGTAGAGTCATGCTATATTCCACATCCAGAGCCAGTTTGAGCTTGCTGTTGAGCAGTTTGTTCAGGATACTAACAAATCCATTTAGAATACTGACAGGGTCTACTCCAATATGGCCTTCCAATTCACTACCTATCCTTACTCCTCCTTTGAAATGGAAGAGGATGTCCAGCGCTCAGCAAAGCAAATAGAGTGGGTTGAGAAAATGATTCGGGCTCAATTGTACACTTTATCCCCAGTTTGCTTCGTCGTTTAGAGCATTTTTACTCCTAGAGGTTCAATTTTATGCCGGGTTTTGTCTCGTTTTGGTGTTTTTCAGTCTATGGCAAGTGGAACCAACCTCAGAGTCGAAAGTTGGACAAAAGGGAGAAAAATCAAGTCAAATGGTGGAAGCAGCAGCAGATCACGGTTTGGGCTGTGTGTTCGCGGTCACTAAGACAGTGAACTGGAGGTGCTACCCGTGAACAGCCAGAGCTTAAAAGACTTTCACTAGGCTCAAGTTAGTTCACGGTCGTAAGACCGTGACCTGAGCCCATTGCACGTGAACAGGACTTAGTGATGCGGCGCGTTTAGACTTGAGATCACGGTCTGAGCTTTCAATTCACGGTCGTGAACTGGGACCGTGATCTGAGCTCGATCTAGGTATACAAAGGAGGTTGAGCTGAAGGGAAAAATGGGAGAGACCTAGTGTAAGAAAAGTCTTCTTGATAAGATTTATAGAATGAGAAAGTGACCAACCAAGGAAGGGAGAAGCTAGGATTTCATCTTCAAGTAAGGATTTGGGAATTCCACCCCCAAAGGAGGATCTCTTCAGCACAAGGAGCAAGGCCAGCATCTCATTGATGGTTTTCCTTATTCTCTCTTGTGTTTTCCCTTCTCCTAGCATGGAGTAGTCCCTTCTTTCACTTAGGTGTTTGTAAACCCTAGCTACAATTATGTGAATGTTTGTATGGATTGAATGATTTGTGTGTGGTTGTATTTAATGTGAATATGGAGGTATTTTCGTGAATAATTGTGTTGTGTGAAAACCTTTCAATCTAATTGCCATTCTAACCTAGGTAGAGAGAAAACCCCCTTCCTTTATTTGAAAGAGGCTTGAAAGCTGGGTTTTCTTAGGCGATTCATTGTCTTCTATCTAGGTTAATGCAGGGAAAACCTCTTATTTCGAATTAGCACCTAGGGTGGGTTGTGGGTGGCCGTCCAAACTCCGATTCAAGGGTGAAGTCTTGGCAACCCTTAGTCAATAGGTCAAGAGAGTCACGTTGGTGGCTTGAATCGAATTCCCTTCCCTCGACCCAGAGACCGAGAGAGTGGCGCTTGGCTACTTGTTGGACTTCCCTACCGTTACAACCACCTTACCACACATGACCATTCGATCCAACAATTAGCTAGGGGGAGCAACACCCGGATGAAGCATTCTCAATTAGTGTCAAATCCATTTTCCAAAAAATTTAGCTATAGATCTTTGTTTTCACAAAAAAAAAAACCATTCGCTGGATAATGTTACAAACAATCGAAGTAAGGGTACATGAACCGGACGAGGTCGATATTTAAACATACTTGCCCTCTACTGCACCTAGTTGAGGTTGGAGTTTTATTGTGGTATTCAAGACGAGTCAGAAAGCTTGTGCAAGACTTCCTCAAGTTCGCCTTTTTGATGCCATACTAGAAGAAGAGGAGGATGAAGCCGCATATCACGAGGACACTATGGAGCATATAGAAGTTTTCATTGAGAGATCTCATGATGATTATGATTAGGAATATCTTGTTGTGGTGACCACACTCTTCCCCATTCTCGCTTTGAAGAGATGGACACGGATGAGGAGATGCAAGCTAATCTTATCAATAACCTTTCATGGAGACTTGACCTCCAATCTGTGCTTGAAGATCAGAAAGAAAGGGTGAGAGGAGAAGTTGTGGAGGAGGAAGAAAGGAATAAAGAGAAAGTTCTTGATCGGACTAAAGTACACAAGCCTACCCATTTGTTACACTATATGCTCGTGACTTGAGGCTCCATTTCATCGACAAGATTCTCAACTTCAAAGAGGTTTTGTTTTGGACCAAAACTTAGGAGCAATCGTCCAACTAAAGACGTGAAAGAAGCGGTTGTTGGGAGGAAATCCAACTAGTCGGTTTGCAGTTTCTTTCTCTTTGCTCTTTGGTTGAGCCAGTTTTTTATTTTCAAGTCAATAACTCAAATTTTGTGAGTTTTAGTGTGGTTTTTTGGTTCCACCAACTCTCTCTTCCATCGGACGCATCCCTTGTCCCACCTGCCATAGTTCATCACCTGATCTGGTAACTTTGTTCTACACTCCTTACTTTTTTTCATTGAGGACAATGTCGTGCTTAAATGTGGGGGTGTTTCATTGTATTTGGGTGTGATAAATGATGTGTTTTGCTTGTCTTCAAGCTTAGTGCATTGTCCAAATTTAAAAATTTGAGGGCTCCAAATACATATTTGTATGATCATATTGGCACATGTGGTTTTGTGAATCTTATGGCGGTTAGTATCAATGCATGAGTAGCTCGTTTGCGACTAAGACCACCACATAGATTACTGAGATCTGCAGTAGGTTTGTGTAGGGGTTCAGTTTTCCTTCTGTTTTTGTGAACCAACTTGTGACATGGATCTATTACTCACCACTTACAGTTTCCTATGCATCTGGTTACAGAATCAGAATAAGAGATAGAGAATATATGTAGCCATGTGAGATTTGAGCTTATCGTTTCTTTCTGTGTGATTAGTTCCCTCTTACCATGATATGTAGCATTCATGTTACCACTAATGAGTAAGATGGAGGCATATGATTACCTCATTGCACCAAAAAGATTGATTGTCATGATCATAATATCCCTTAGTCAACCCCTTGAGCGGTTGAGCCATGAGTCCCTTCTTTGTGTATGTCGAGGACCCCTTGTGTATTTTTAAGGTTCCACATGGTTGATTTTTCATGATTATGCTGAAAATGGAAGTGAGTGAAGGAGTTAGTACCTCAAGGATGAGTAGTATGTTCTTAACATGGAGAAATTGTGGCAAGTTTGTTGGCTCTCAAAGTAATTGGAAAAGGAAAAAAAATGAAAAGAAAAAAACACAAGAGAGCCCACAAACTATATAAGTTGCTCGAAATGCACCTCCTACACTCTGGTGCATAAAATTGATAAAAACAACATTAACAAATAATTCTTGGATTGCTACCACTACCAGAAAATCTCATTCCCATTCCCTAGACCCTAGCCAGTATAGTTTGACCGGGTTAAGTTGGTGATGAGTTTTCTACCACCCCCGTGGGGATGTTGTCAATCGATTGCATGTAACACCCCATTTTTTGGTTTAGGTTCGACTAAGGTTCGACCTAAAATTTGGAAGGCGATTGGAAATAATTAAAGCGATGAAAAAGAGGAACATGCTAGAACAAGGGCCGCAACACAGCCGTGTTGCTCGAACGTGTTAGCAGAAGCGAGTCATTTTGACGATGGTGGAAATGAAGTGGTACAGGACGGAACACGAGTCTAAACACGACGGTGTTGCCAGACCGTGTTCACTTAAATGATCATTTTATTATCGTGATTAATTGGATAAGTCGTTTCAGAGGGGGCCAGCAACCTAGCTTAACACGACCTGAACACGCCCGTGTGGCATGGCCGTGTCGCTAAGGACAATTGGAACAGGGACGACGATTGGGGAGAACACGGCCATGTCCTGTGCCCGTATTGCTTCTGTATAAAAACGAGCAGTTTCTTCTGGCCGAACTTTGGCACCAAAAATCTTCCCCAATTTCTCTGATCGAGCAGAGGACAAAAAAAGGAAGAAGGAAAAGAAAGAGTGGCCGACCCATCTTCCTCCCCCCTCATTTTTCCTAAGCCGGTCCTCCAATGCCGTCACCGTGTTCTCGATGTTGTTCCTTGACGGAAAAGAAGATGAGTGAAGAGAAAGAAAAGGAGGAGTCCAAGCGCTGGGTTTTGGCCGGGAGAAGGTCAGGAAACATCCCACGGAGTTGGAATCCAAGTTGGTGGTCGTTTGATGGGTCGTCGGAGCTTCGTCGGAGAGTCGCCGGAATATGGAAAAATACAAATTTCAACCAAACTTTGAATGGTGGGTACAGTTTCATAGTGGGAAATCCCAGGATCATCACCATGTCAACAAAATCGAATTCCGACATCAGATGAGGGAGAACCAAGCCGCGGAAGTTTGGAGGAAAATTTGTCAAGTTTAGGTACCATTCTTGATAATTAAAAAAAGTAGAAGATTCATAAAAAAAAATTAGAAGACTGAATATGTTATTTTCCAGAAGGGTCAGGGTCAATGATGTTGACTTGGAAAATTTTGGATTTGGTACCCGACACTTGGGAATCTGACAGAATTCTTATTTAGGTTATAACTTGTTCGTTTGACGTCCGATCGAGGAACCGTCGGCGCCTACGAAATCGTGGAAGCGAGGAGAATTTAATGAGAACTAGTCATGGAATTTTTAGAGAGGAATCAAATTCGTATTTTTGAGGTGAGAGTAAATGGGGTAAAATTTCTGTCGAGGTTTTTTTATTTTATGCAATTACTTTAAGTAATGCTAGTTAATTTTTGAGTTTGCGCAATCATGTGTGTGAGGCATACCACTGCCTACTTAAGATGGAGGCACGTGTTGTGCTATGTATGAACGAATGCATGTTGTAATGTATGGTTATTGGTAATTGAACCCCCTAGCGGTTAGGCCACTACTTGACGCGGTAGATGGTCGGGTCACTATTGGAGGACGATACGTACCGCAACAGGTGATCGTGCATGGTAATGGACGGCGAGACGTAACGCAGACCATATCCGAGTTGGGTATGCAACCGGACGACGAGACGTAACACGGTTGGCATACCAAGGTAGGGACACCGGACGGCGAGATGTAACGCGATGGACCTCAGTGATATGTGTATGTGGTAAGAATAGAAGTAGAGAACTTCTATGATTTAACGTTGGGATAAGTTATTGAGGATGAAAGTGAGAACGACTTTCATCTAAGGAAAGTAACGGCGAGGCTGACACATTCTCACTCACCAGGTTGAGGAAGGGTTAGCAAAGGTGGATTTCGAGAAGAGGCAAGGCAAGGCGAGAAGTTGCAGCAGCATGGACAAGATCTCAGGGATCTTAGCAAGGAGTTAGAGTTTATTTAGTTAGTTATGTTTATGGTTATGAGAATATACTGGAGGTTCAAGGTTCAAAGATTAAGTTTTATTGACTGCGGGCTGAGGTCGCCCACGTGTTTACGACATTGCATTTGATGTTTCGTTTTAAAAGGATTCGGTTGTATTTGTTTTAGTGAAATTTTGAGTATTATTTATAATTGGCTCTAAAGCCATGTGTATTTCGGTTGGGTAAAAGTATCGGGACGTTTCATTTTGGTATCAAAGCCGACACTTCTATGTTCCTTGGTCTTCAAGGAATACTGGAGTGACGTTCTGTGTTTTTTTAAGGTATTTGTTTTACAAGGAAAGGAAAAAGGGGTGTCAGGTTAAATGTTTTACCAAGCGAGTCAATGTTTCTGTTGAGGATTTTTAGAATCTCCAAGTATTCTCTAACCATGATTAGGAAAATAACTCTAGGAGACCTTGCGAGGTTATGATACGTCTTGAGAAGGAAAAGGAGCTGATTTCTAAGAGGGTCGCTTTATGACCTCACTGTGATCAAGAATTAACGGAAGAGATTTTTTTATTTTTTTTTTCTCCAGAATTTTGTAAATGGGAAAAGTTCCAATATTAATTACGTTTTATGGGGAATGAGTAAATCACGTTGGATGGGGAAAATAAATTGAACTCCCATATTACCCTTCTTTCCTCCCAAAAAAATAGAAGCCCGGCTCTCTACTCTGCAAAACTCGACGGCTGTCGGAAACCATCGGACATTCCCGCGGTGGGATCGCCTCCGACCTGCTTGGTGGGTTGCTCGCCGTCGGATGATGAGACGCAAGGGATATCTTCCAAGATCGAGCCAATGAAGGCCACACCGAGAGGGAAGACGAATCCGAGATTCCGTGCGGCGGTTCTGAGCATTGCCAAGAACGACGGCTCCTATGGTGACATCGAATGACTAAGATTTGAAGATGGGATCTGACTCGCCTTCCGACCGCCGGATGCATTGTTGGCCACCGAGGGAGAACTCGTCGGGGATGAAGAAGAACATGGAGGGCGACATTGTTGTGAACATGTACCACTGTAATGGTACATATACCATTGAGCTGATACATGTATCACTGAAGTGGTGTATGTACCACTGATCTGATACAAGTACCACTGCAACTATTCAAGTCCACACCAAAATGTGACCACCCACTTGCAGTGTTGGATATTTTATACTTGTACCATTAGCAAAATCGAAAATCATAATAAATGTTCTCATTGCAATGTTAAATATACTTTGGAGTGGTACCATTGAGATGGTACATGTATCATTGTACTTATAGATATACAAGTGAACTTATACACATACCATTGCACTAATACATGTACCACAGAACTGATACGTAAACAAATCATCAACTTCCTATTAGTAACAACAATAAAATATCCAGCCAATGTAACAAATAAAAATGAAGTCAGTAAGAAATTGTTTGTGGGAACTGGAAAGTCTAAACAACGATAAATCAGGTCCAGAAGGATGATTGGGTCACTTGGGTAATGCGACGGAAAAACTGAATTTGAATTTTCGAGTTGGGGTTGCACTTCTTGCCACTAACATCATCAATACATTTCCTTTTCCCTTTATCTTGTTGTCCATTATTCCGGCTTTCACGGCGTTGCTTCTTGCTGGTACCCGCACTCGAGGAAAGTTCCTGACCTACCCCAACTTCTACATGGCGATGAACATAGCTTACATGATTCTTCCCCCTAGGCACTTAGGCATACGGTCTCTTCATCCTGACCATTCCTACATACAATAATCAACACTATCAATGTAGTGATAGAAGTATGAGTTCGATAAGTAAGACAACTATCACTACAATGGTAACATTACCAGTAAATCTTTGCACCAGCTGACTCCCTCCAAGCACCTGCAAAAAATACCACTGCACTGGTAAGACATATCACTGCACTAGTACAACTACCACTAGAATAAAAAGCTTAGCACTGATAACGTTCAACAGAAACTCAAACACTGGTGGAATTATCATTGTAGTGGTAACATTACACTAGTATCAATACCAGTACACTGGTACTAATACCACATGAAAAAATCCAGATATGGAAAATCTAAGACACAGATATGGGTAATGAAAATACCATTGCACTAGTACTAATATCAAATGAAAAACCCAGATTTGGGTTTGAGAGAGAGAGAGAGAGATAGTGGGGGGAAAGAGCTACCTTAAATTCTTCGTCGTCGGGAAGGGGAGGATGGCAGTCGTCTTCGCCGGGAAGGTGAGGAGGGTCGTCGTCTTCACCGTCGATCTTCGCAGTGCCAAGTTTGTGGAAGGAGATGGAGAGTCGCGATGGCAAGTCTGTTGTTGCTCGGAGAACAGCGGCAACCACCATCCAAAACGTAGCCCACGACGGAGGATAGGGGATGGAGCCGGAGGGAGAGGATCTTTTTGGTGCGTCAACGACCGAAAAACATGAATTATGGCGGGAAAAATGCAACGGCGGTGAGCAGGGGAAGAGGGAAATCGAGGGAGAAAGGAGGAGACGAAAGAGAGAAAAAAGAGAGAGACGAAAATGGGAATGAATTTTGAATTGGGGTGATAATGTTTTTCCCCTTTCCCTTTCTCAATGTGGTGAGAAAAACTAATAATGTAATTTATGCCTAATAAACAGCTGATTAATACTCATCATTGGATTAGATGGACGGTATCTTAGAGGGGTCGAAAATCAGACCCTCCAGACTTAAACTTTCAGTTCGAATGACTTGATCTCATACTACATCAGCATAATACATCAAAAGGATGTGATAAATTTTATAACATTTTTAAACTTTCGCTAAATAACGTGATTTTATTCCCATAGACCATAACAATAATGACCATCTTATTCCCCATAACAATACTTTGCGGCCATGGCCAAGCAGCAGGAAGGTAGATGTTAACAGAAGATTCAACGAATCTCCGCTGGATTTCAATTGGATCGCCTTTAGTCTTTACAGTTTCAGAAGGTGACTCACAATGAAGTGGCCAACTCCTAAAATTGACTGGAGGAAGCTACCTTAAAAATGAATCTTATGTACAACAATTAAATCTAAATCTGCACAAGTCCACTACGATTCCATATATCTGAACATAGAACCTTCCATTCAGACTGAAGAAAGTATCATTTTTCTTTAAAAGCTAGGTGGGTCTTCATGGTCTTGATCTATAGTTCTAGTTTCAGGTCTGCTGGCATAAACTTCATCAAAATGGAGACTCAAATTCCTTCCTCCAGCTTCAATGTCATCATCATACATGTAAGTAGTCCTGGACACACTACGTGAATTCCTTAACTCCAAGTCCTGTTCTTGCTCCTCCATGCTTCTTTCCGATAAATTCTCAAACTGATTACCACGAGCAAATCTGTTGAAATCAGGGGGCTCCAGGAAACTTGCCTGCGGCTGTCGTCCTTGCAAGTTGCTTCTGGACCACCAATGGCTTCCACCAGGATTAACAGCGCCGTGACTGGAATCGTGATGCCGGATCACACTCTCCCGAAAGAATGGAGCAGACGTGGAAGTCTGCAGATGAGAGCCCGGTCGATCATCCACATGCTGAGCACCCCAGTAGTCTTCATGATCGTATCTTGCAACACCACCCTGTGCCAAATTGGAAGGGTTCCAGATATCTTCGATTTGTTGCTCATTCACATCAAGTTGTACAGTACATTCTTCTTCTCTTGTATTATCATTCATCGAATTGTGGTGTTGGGCCATATAGTACCAATCCAGAAGATATGGATGATGATTCTTTTGATCAACATCAATCAACCATAAGGAGTCCAACTGAAATCTAGCAGTATAATATGGCGCACCCCGAGAAAAGGTCGTGTTTCTCTCCTCCGCACTTCTAAGGCTTAGGGGGCTGCCTCGTAACAATTGAGGATGCTGACACATATGTCTAATTCCTGGACCTTGCAGCTTCTGCTCCCTGAAATTCCGAAGATTTAGCAGGAATTGCTTCCCTTGAGCATTTGGTTCCCATGAAGGATAGCTACTCTTGAAACTGCAAACCACAGTGGAAAATTAGCTCTTACAGCCTATAAACCCCACACTCGGCAAAGTAATTAAGCTATTGAATAATTAAGATTTGAAATTTGGCCAGCTGTATGACCAAGTATTAATCAACCTGCATCAAGATTTGCTAGGCATAGTCATACCTCAACATTGCTTTTTCCATCTTTCCCTGAGAACTCCTTTGAGTGCGAGGTGCATTACAGGGAGAAGCATAGTTGCTATTGCCATGATTTAGAAAATCAAAGGCACTGAAACTGCAATGTGTAAATGGTTATATTGAAACTGTTTAGTGCTCAGAGCAAAAGACAACAAAAAAACTGTTGATTCTCAATCAATCTATATTTTGAGGGTTAACAACAGACTGACCTACAAACATGGCCTACACCCTGGACATCCACTGTGAAATCTGATATGAACTCCAAGATGTCATCAACTTGCTGCAAGACCATATAAGTGATGGCTTAAACATTGCATATATGGCACAGAACAGGCAAGATATGGACCATGTGTGAAGAAGTTGGTACCTTTGGTACAACAAATAAAAGCAAGAGTGGAGTGAGAAATATCGATGCCATCTCCTCAAGTAACATCATACCAGTATACTGCAGCACGTAAAAGCCCCAGGATGGACAAACCAACTTAGAACTAGGTCAAATATGAAAGCAAGAGAAGAGAGCACTACAGTTGACTTTATTATTTGGCTCGGATAAGAGGCTCATACTACATGGCAAACAGACTGACTACCTGAAATAAGGTTTCAAACTCTATTCTAACTGTCTCAGTATGTTCCTTGCACCGCCACCTCTTTGGCATATAATGAGTATGCTGTACCACCACAGCCATTGTTCCTTCCGGATCGAGAACTAGGAGATCATCAGTCACTGCAGCCCGGCTGATAGCTGTTATAGTTCCAAAAACAGCAGCATACCAAAACAAGTTGCGCCCGAAAATCTACAAAATGAAATCGCTATGTTATATGACATGTATCTCTGATATTTGTACTAGTCGCACAAAGACATCTAAACTACGTATATCGTTAAGTTCTTGGGAGGGGTAGAGAAAAGGGTCTCTTACATGGCCCTCGAGTAAAGATTCCTCCACCAATGCAATGATCAGCAGGACAGCAGCAAATCCACCAGATACGAATGAGATAAACTTTGCAACAATTGAAATTATAGGAGATGGGAACTGTTTTAGATATTCTGAAGCATGCACTATACTGCTGTTGATTCGATGCTTGAACAAATGGTCAACCTGTTACACAAACAAAAGAATCTTAAATCACCAGTGCTCAATTTGGTGCCTATAAAAAAAGAATTAAACTGGAAGAAACTTTTTGGCTGGCTTGCGGAGATGGCAAAAAAAAAAAAAAAAAAAAACAAAATTGTTTCCAGCAACCAGGATTTTGCCTACACTATACCTTAGCATCACACAGATAAACTAGAAAGGCCTTAATCATCCGCATATGTATTTTCAGTGTGAAGCCAAGAATTAGAAAGGGGAATAGCAAACTATAACTCCAAGCAGTGGTTTATATGTTTAGCCTATGGCGTCATCCCAATGGCAGGGAGAGATCTGAATACTCTTTTAAAAAGTACAAAAGTATTAACCAATTAACAGACTGCGAAAGAAAGAGACACAAAACGACAGACATGCACCTCATTGAATTCTCTGAACATCCACCTTGACAAATTTGACCACCGTCTAGATGATGCTGTACCAGGATGATTATAGAACTGCTCAGCATGTCGCAAGAAGAGATATACTAACATGAATATAACAAGAAATGGCGAAAGCAGAAGCATTGCAAGCCCCACAACCATAAGTCGCTTTTTTAGTGTTTTAGGATTCGAAAGGAAGTCCATCCTAACACAGAAGTTTCTGCAAAACAATATAAAGAAATGAGAAAGTTAAGTCCTTGACCTCAAACACACACGAGAAAACAAATATAAGAACTTACCGATCAAACATGCTCTGCAGTATGCACCAGTTTAAGGTCCATTCAAGAGTCTTTGTGAGAACTAAACGATACTGATTTCCATCTGGACCAAATTTGACTGTTGGCCCAGCACCTGGAACCCACTGTGATATAGGGAATGCAAGTACCCCTTTATTGAGCATCCCAATCAAGTAGTTTTCTTTCCGCATCAACCGCATGACCATGTCATGAGCTGATAGGTCTTTGACCACACATAGTTGTTGTGAGGCTTGCAGTTGGACAATTTTTTCAAGAACGGTTGCCCATGGCATAGTTTGGATCTCCTTGTCTGTCACATGAAGACTGCAAAAGAAAATGCAATTCACAGTTTGATACCTGAAGCACTCACCATAAAAAAGGAGAAAGGCAGCTAAACCCAAAGAACATAGCCAAACGAAAAAATAAGTAAGGAAATTACAACAGATAAGCAAATTAAAATTCACAGAAAAGATAAACCAAAACGCTTTAGGCATGCCAAACAGGGTATCATGGTTACCTGTTGTGATAGAATTGACGGATCCTAAGGGTCTCCTTCAACTGAGAGAAAAACCTGAAGAAACAGAAGACCAGATAGATGGAAAACAATCCCAAATATCCAACAATTATGGTTTTTGATATAGTCAAGGGGGTTAATGGGTGCTCATGAAGAGCTTCTTTTGCAAGGTCGCAAGGCTTGGTTCCAGATTCAACTGCATCCATTCCACACTTTGCATTACGTAGACCATTCCAGTCAACATAAAGTAAGAAAAATCCTGAGAAACATATGGTGAAACCAAGGCTCAGAAGCTCAACTATCCATTTTATAATAATGCACCAAAGGCCTTTCTCACAGTAATAGCTGTAAAGCCTTTCAAAGAACAAGTCCAGATCAGCAATTGGCTCCACGTTCAAGCTTTCACCATTAAGAAGCCCAGAAGGGCTTTCACTACCAGGACTTGGTATCCTTCCATAACCAGACAGCTCAATCTCTGGTGCCACATCCTTAAGCAAGCCTGCTGTCAAAGTGGAGTCCTCATGCCATCTCCAATTAAATTTCCTGAGGGTATTAGAGTTCGTCTGCCCACTGAACATCATTCACAGATGCATAGAGCATGCAAAGGCAACCAGTCCATCCCCCAGGAACAATCGCTAAAACAAAGTTCTGGAAATAAAAAGGAACTCAAGTTATTTACAAGCTTTACCTTAAATATATTTTCGTTTGATAGTGACACAAACAGAAAGCAGACAACTCAAAGATGACGTGGCGTTGAGACAACATTAACAGTCTGTAAGAAACAAGTAGGATAACATCTAATTTACTGTGATCATCAGTTAAACGGCATATAAAGAAGCCAAACCAGCATAATAATAAATATCCCTTCTCAAAAGTACAACAATAAAATAAATATTGGAGATTCAAAGTCCAGTACTCGCAAAAAAGACAGTAAAAGGAAACAGAGTTGGAGGGAATAAAATAGAGGTTGGGATGTCAGAATACTACACATAAGCAACCAATGCTATTACTGCCTCAAACCAATCATCTGAAGGATAAACTGATTTTAATAACTGAACAATACTGGTCTATTTACACATTATCTACTGCACATCCCAAGCACGTGACCGCACGATAATATAATCCAAACATCCTAAAGTATATGTTCTACTTGATGCCAAGAATACTGCACGAGTCATAGTACAAGTGATATTCCAAACTCCCTATTTTATTGACAAAACTGTTGTGTTATTATCATTTAAGTCCCCTTCTGTATTTCGTAAAAGATCTTAAACATTTCAGCAAAGAATGACTGGGGAACCCGCTAAATTATTTGACCCCATACGTTGGCAACCAAACAAATTGGACTTGAACACAACTATACAGGATTTTATGAGATAGAACTAGAGAGGGGAAAAAATGGCGGGCATCCTTTGCTCAAATTGACAGCATCTGATTTGCAGAATCAAGTTTGAAATAGGTATAGGTATACAAGTCAGAAGCAACATAATTTTCCCTGTTGCTGATGACAAAGGGCTGATAAACACTCCCGAGTTTCTTTCCCAACTAATAGGAACCTTTAACAATGATGTATGACACCAAAGCAAACATTTTTTTTTTACCACCACGAACGAACAATGAGGTTTACATATATAATTACAGAAGCACAAAGTTCGACTATTACTATGAAGTGCGCTAAAAAACCTCTGTTCACTCGCTGTACTGCTCACTGCCAGTAAGTTATTGAAATGCTATAAATTACGCAAGCAAATGAGGGCGTTATGAATCATTAGAAGCTCACAATCAAGTAGTTTTACATGCTTAAAGTATTACATCCATCATGCATTGTAGTTTGGGTACTTCCACTATGAGCTCTTCAACAGCCATACTCACTAGTGCAGTAATGCAGAAATGTATAATCCAAATGGGGCAGTATACTAAAAGAGATGGCGAGTACAGACCAATTAAATGAAGAAAGCTGATCTACAGTTAACAAGAATGAGGTGCGTTCCTCATAATTTTCACTAAATAAGGACCATGAAGAGCAAAGATCGAATCTTCACAAAGGCTCTAGTCTCAAAGTAAAACTCAATCTAACACTTGTTACTCCACATAGCAGAAAACCCATAATCAACAGCTTATCAATAGTTTTAAGTCATCAAACTATCAGCATGTCATCAAACATGATGAACTCCCACCCACTGATCAGACAGAAACTCCGAGATGCTGCAAATCATGGTACTCTGAGACCAGAGCTAAAGGAATTCTTTGCAGGCACCAAATTCAACGTCAATCGATCATTAAGAATAGAACTCCGAACTTTAAACCCCAATAACCAAGGAGGAAGCTAAGTTGGAAGAGATTCAACTATCTAGCACGCCGCGAATAAGCGGAACATCAAATATAAAATCTTAATTTGCCAAGGGACAAGGAGATGGAATTACCCGCGACCCAGCAACGCAAGAGCTCCGAACGAAACGGCCTAGGAACTATCGAGTGGACAGCGCCCAAATAGGTATCCACTGGAATTCACCGAACCCAGAGAGACAGATAAACGACAGAGGAAGGGCTTGTTCGAGAAGTAGAAGGAAACCCAGGAACTGGAACAGGAAAAGGCAAAGGAATAAGAAAAGCTCTTATATTGTCTTCGGCAGTGAACCAGACGAGAAGTAATACTGGAGCGGGAGCGGAGCTGGAAAAGTTTGGTTGCGTGGACGAAAGTTTCCGTGTCAAAAGACTCACAACCGGTTTAAGCCGTTGGACTTGAAGTTCATCGGATTGGAGTTTGACCGAATTAACCCGTTTTATAGAAAATATACAATTATATGTTTCAGGCACATTTCAATCGGCGGTTCGGGCCGGGTTCAATCGACTTTGGGTTCAAATAGGTTGCGGGTTCATCGGGTTTGGGTTAGTTGGATTGTGGGTTCATCGGGTTTTTGATCGGGCGGATCGGGTTACGGGGTTGTTCGGGTCAGCACACTGAGTAACTTATTCAAAATATTTTTCTCAAATTTTAACCAATTTCTTTCTACCTCGTATATATACTTAATTTTTAAAAAACTAGTCAAAATGTTGAATCAATTTATATGACTTTCAAATTTGTTATGTAATTAATCTTAATCGGTAAAGTAGACTAGCTAACAGTAATGGTTATATCAACATTTGCAACAAAAGACACCATTAATGATTTATTAGGTATTTTAATATTATTTCATTGGTAAATGGATTAAAGTATCTCGTTTAGTATAACCATACAAATCTGGTATTTGGCAAAAGTAGAGTGGTAAAATAAGTTATTTCGAAATAACTCATTCCCCTAATAACTTCAGTAAGCTGTTGCCAAATGAGTTATTTGTAAAATTGTTCGAATTACCCTAAAAATTGAAAATTAACTATCAAATTTAGTAAAATTGTTGTGACTTCAATAAATATGTTGTTGATCGTATACTCTAAACCATCAATATATTAACTACTCAATAAATAACATATATCATATACACTTAGCCTTACTCTCAATCGACAATATTAAATTAATATATGTTGTTGATCGTATACCCTAAACCATCAATATATTATACACTAACAACATGCCATATGCCCTAACCATATATCCCTATGAGTTGTGATTTTGCTAGTATAGTTAATTTAAAGTGAAATTCATACTTTGATTTTTGAAACATAGATAAAAAAGTGATATTTGCTATACTCTAACCATATATCCTATACTCTACACCATATACCATGTACCATAAACATAAATTAAAAAGGGATCTCCTACCGTTAAAGATTTTAAATGACTTCAAGTGAACATATGTTAATAAAAAACTTAGAACCGTCAAAACCATTAATACCTTGAAATGAAAATCAACGATTATGATTCGTCAAAATAATCAAAGTACAAATAATAAGTTTGAACACAGACTTTATAGCGTACACTTAGCCTTTGCGTTCATATAGTAATGATTTAAGATTTTAATAATAGGTACTGACTCGCCACAGATACACCGCGATTTAAATCCCGACTAGAGCCGAAGCATAAACTCTAGCCGGGTGCAGTATCGGGGCAAGTATGTTTTAATTGTCAAACCTGGGTCGGTCCATGTACCCCTACTTTAATCGCTTAGTTTGTTATCTAGCAAACGTTTTTGGGTTTAAAACTAAGAAAACTACAAATGAAAACAAGCAAGTAAAGTAAATCAAGGTTTTCCCAATAAGTGAAGAGTTCACCCGGGTATTGCTCCCCCTAGCTACATATCAACATCGCTCGAATTGAGTGCAAACGTGTGGAGGTGTGTTAATACATCGTAGGAAGGCGCAACAAGTAAAGGAAGCCTCACTCTCTTAATCAATCGGTTACGGAAAACAATTAAACTAGGAACCTAGCTCTCTCAATCAATGAATTAAGGATTGCTACAATAAACTAGGGAGTATAGCTTTCTTAACCTTTTGGTTAAGGATTGCAACAATAAGATAGGAGTCCTAGCTCTCTTAACCGATAAAACTAAGGGTTGCAAGAACCAATCCCTCAGAACTTAATCTGGGCGACAAAGTAACACACAAGTTAAAGTGCTAAATCGAAGTTTGAGGTTTGTCCTAATTTTCCTTAGGTAGGTGACTCAATTGGCCAAGGAATCCAGCTTAACAAGCCTCATAAGAAAACGGGAAATTCCATCTACCTAGGTCAAATTGGCATAGTAATGAGAAATGAAGAACACAACCCAAACATCATGAAAATACCTCAAACTTTGCATTAAACACAAACCCACACACAAAGCATTCAATTGATACAATTTATCACATATTTCAAGATAGGGTTCACAACATCCAAGTGAATATGGAGGCTATTCCATAGCTACGCAAAGGAAAACAAGAAAAATGAGAGAGAGAGAACCATGAAGAGATGACAGTCTTCCTTCCTCTTCGCTTGAATCTCCCTTGAGAGGTAAGAATCTTCACTCCTCTAGTTTAAGGCAAGCCCAATCTTCTTCTTCCTCCTTTGAATGTCACTTTCTCTCTCTAGAATAGGAAGAGGAAACCCTAATCTCTTACTAGAAACTCTCCTTTATTCTGAAAATTAAAACCCTAGAAAAAGCTCTCATTTCTCTCTCCCAACAGCCTTCTATTTATAGAGCCCGATAGTCACTTTTCACGGTCAGAAGTCATGGTTGTGACATTGGAGCCCTAGCCTTGACATTGGACCAAAACACAAGTCACTAGTGCATTTTTGGTGTAACATCACGGTCGAAGGCAGATTTTTACGGTCAACAGACCGTGAACACATCGAGGTCCAGTAAGAACAAAAATGGCTCTGGAACTTGTCAATGTCATGCCCAATGACCTTGGATTCTCAAGACCAATGATCAATTGTCAAGGTTTGTTAACCTTGACATTTGACCTCTGCCCGTGACATTGGACTGTTCTTCACTTTACTTCACTTTTTGACACTTTATCGACTCCAATCATCTCGAAACTCGTCCTCGACCTTCCGACACATGCTAGGACCGGAAATGAATTAAAAATAGAACAACCTAGCGTAAAATAGGTCGAGAGACGATGGAATGCACAGTCAAACTAACAAGAAATGAGGGGTAAAATGTGTACAATTAGACCCGAATCAGGTACCTTATAATAATTTTATAATTAATATATTATCTTACCCTAAAAATTGCATATATATGCTTTGTTTTCCATGTGAAAAGACCAAAACGCAACATTTATATCTAAGAGTATGAAACCAGTCAATTCGATCGTATCACTAGTTTTGCAGTTTTGACCAGTTACCAGTTTGGAGGGAAAACATCTTTCTGGGGCCGTTTCCAGCACCGACTCCAATCGGATTTGGTCCAACCGACATGTCTGACTATAGCTTGACAACACTGATTCCCTCGTTTTTTACCAAGGAACCACTAACTGAGGATAAAGCGTCAGGCTATCCCGAACCTTGTCAAGCACCGCCCCATCCTTACCATCCCACGTATCCTAGCGTTAACCTTATCAATGACAATCTTCAAATCCTCTTGGACGTAGTAGTAGCTTATTTATGTTATGGATAAAAGAGAATTATTACTATGTAGATAATGACTTGGGTATTTTGGGGTTGTTTTGGGATAGAAAAGAGGTGGATATAAGAGTTCTGGTATGTGGTCAGAACATTATTCATTGTATAGTAAAATATCATGGGCGTAACATTGTTTCTTCACTATTGTTTATGGTTTGATTTGAGTTTAATTGTACACTTTTTACCCCCGATTTCCTTAGTCTTTTGAGGAATTTTTACTTCAGGAGGTTTGGTTTTACGTTGGGTTTTATCTCATTTTTTTTGCATTTAAGCCTATAGTAGGTGGAACCAACCCCGAAGTCGAAAGTTGGACGAAAAGGACGAAAATCCGGTAAAAGGACGGAGGCAGTAGCAGATCACGGTGGAAGCAGTGGGTTCATGGTCAGGGAGACCGTGAACTAGGGCCGCAAACCATGAATCGGCAGGCGTCTAGAGACATTTTGATTCTCACTGGACTCAAGCCGGTTCACGGTCGTAAGACCGTGAACCCGCCTTGGCCCGAGATCACGGTCCCCGCCTTGAGTTCACGACCATGAATTGGGACAGTGATTTGAGCCCGACCTGGGTATAAAAGCAGTATTCTAGTGAGAGAAAGTGACGAGCAAGAAGAAAGAAGAAGCTAGGTTTTCATTCCAAGGCAAGCATTTGGGAAAATATTCCCCAAAGGAAGATCTCTTCTACACAAGGAAGGATTCAAGCATCTCCATGATGGTTTTTATTCTTTCTCCTTGTGTTTTACCCTCTCCTATCATGGAGTCGTTTCCCTTTTCACTTGGGTCCTTTTAAAACCTAACTCCTACCATGTGCTTGATTGTATGGAATGATTATCTATATGTGGGTATGTTTTAATACAAATTTGGAGGTATTTTCATGGAAGATTGTGTTGTGTGTTTGCCTATGAATCTATTTGTCATTCTAACCTAGGTAGAGAGAAAACTCCCTTTTGTTAAAGAGGCTTGTTAAGCTGGATTTTCTTAGGCAAATCTTGTTTCCTATCTAGGTTAATGTAGGACATCCCTCCTTGTTTGTGTTGGCACATAGGTTGATTGTGTTTTGGCCGTCCGAACTCCGATTCAAGAGTGAAGGTTTGGTAGTCCTTATTCAATTAGGCCAAGAGAACTACATTGGTAGCTTAATCCGAATTCATTGGCCTAGAGGCCGAGAGAGTGATGTTCCATCAGTAGCTACACTTCACTTACGGTTCTCAATCACCTCCACCACACACTTTCAGTCATTCCAAAAAGTCTTGGTAGCGAGTTAGGGGGGAGCTACACCCAGGTGAATCCTTCTCATTAAGAGTCAAAATCAATTACTTTTGCAATCGCTTTAATAGTAGATCATAGTTTTCAATCAAACAACCAATCACTAGATAATATTTCAAACAACTAAAGTAGGGTTACATGGACTGACCCGGGTTGATGTTTAAACATACTTGCGCTATATTGCACCCAATTAAGGTTTATACTTGGCCTTAATTGGGAGTTTATTGTGATATTCGGTACAAGTCAAGTTTCCGGGGAATAAACGATCCATTTTTTTGAAAAGATTGTTTGGTGTTAATCTAGATTTTACGTTTTTGCTTTCGTGTTAGTGAATCTTGCTTGTGTTAGACGATATCTGGTTCTTTTGAGTGTGTGCAGGGAGGTGTATGACCTGGAGTAATCCGACACCTTTGGCGGCACTGGACGAGAATCTCAACCGCACTCTCCGATTTGGCTCGTGAGAGGGGGCTAGCGGAGGCAAGAAGAAGGATAGAAGAGATGGCACAACCACAAGTTGGTCCCGAAGAGGAAGTTTTATTTGAGGAAGAGTTTGATTCCGAAGAGGAAGGAAGTGAAGCTGATTTGGCGGCTAATCAACATGCTCTAGCTGGAGCGGCCGTAAAAGAGCAACCGAGGACCATGGGCTACTATATGGTCCCACGAGCGGCAGATATTCAACCCGCCATTCGATCCGCCCGTGACCGGCAATAATTTCGAAATTAAGCCTGCCCTCGTCACCATGATCCAAAACAATGCACTATTTCATGGGCTTAGCAATGAGTCTCCAAGGGAGCATGTTCAGAAGTTCATCGAGCTTGCGGAAAGTTTGAAAATCAATGGTGTTCCTGAGGATGCTTTGAAGTTGAGGATATTCCCTTACTCTCTTGCGGGGAATGCGTCTCGGTGGCTCAACAATAGACCGACCCTCTCGATCACCTCGTGGGTGACATGCTCAACAAGTTCATGACTCGGTATTGCCCACCTTGAAAGATGGCGGAGCAGGTGACGCACTGGTGACAACAGTGGAGGACGAGTCGGTGGTGTCGGGCGCCATGAGGACAACAAGCAGCAAGACGGTACAGGGGGAAAAGGTTAGGGTTTGGATCCTTGCTCTGATACAATGTAAGGAATTCTAACTTGTGTGTATTGCATTATGTAAAGGGTTATTTATACAAGGTACAGAGTACCAGTACAAAGTGAATAAGGAGATACTACTAGACGGAGAATGATTTCTCCCTAATACACATGAGAGAGACACTATGATTAAGCTTGCTTCCTCTCGACTTCCAACCGGGCCGTGTGCTCAATATCTTTGTATTACACATTTTTCTGATCCACACTTTTCATCGGCGGTTGACCAAGGAACAGCAAGTTCTTTGTTCTCTCCAAGTCCCGACATTGTGGAGAAGGAGAACTCATCCATTCCAGTCTCCTAAGCGTTTCTCCATGCCCGTGGTCGAATTCATCTCTACCCTGCATGCGTTAGAGTTGGAGCTAGTGCTCTTTTATGTAGGATTTACGAATGGGCATCGATCATTACAATCATTTTACTTGTAGACAAAAGAAGGTGGTAATGGATAGGGAACTGGAGATCACTGCACGCCACACACTGCTCCATAATTCCTTTGTCATATCTTTCTTTATCGATCCCCGTCGACCTTTTGTGTGAAGAAAGTTGAAAGGAAAAATCTTTCTCATTCATGAAGGATCAATCCACTCTGTTTTGCTAGGGCCAAAAAAAGACATAAATGTTTCCCGCAATGATTCTATCTCAACCCATCCCAGATGAGGAAAATGCGACATCAAACTAACAAGAAAACAAACCCAACTGGCAATGCAATCACTGAGTTGTTTCAGCAGGACCCTGGGACTTTAACCAAACGGAAAAAAACAACGTCCTTCGTTTCGAGCTCTGCTATTACTACCACCACCACTACTACTCCGTCGAATCAACAACGCTCGAACGCTAGATAGAAGCTGCCGATCCGCCGCTGAATCCCACGAGAACGACCTTCTGATTGGCTGAACTGCAAACTGATCAACTTCACCCTCTTTCCCCATCCTCACATAATCGATCCCTTCATCTCCCATCACGGACAAGTGCCGGCCGCCGCACTTGCTCTGCTTCCGCTTCCCAATCACCTTAGGAGACTGGCTCCCGAACCGACGACGAGGAGCATGAGGAGGAGGAGGAGGAGCTTCTGAAACGACGGCACGGCCTTCCACATCTCCACCCAACTCAATCACCACAAAATCCTCGTCGCTTCCTAAGACGCTCTCGGCTTGTTGCTGCGAGCCTCGAGGGGAGGAGCTCGGAGCAACCACTTGGAGATGACGAGGATTATGCCCCGAAGCGAGTTGGGTCGAGGTAATGCTTTTCTGGCAGAGCGGGCAAATGGCATTGCTCTGCAGCCAAAGGTCGATGCAGGGCAAGTGGAAGGCGTGGGCACAATTGGGGAGGACTCTGAGGATGTTCTCTTCCTTGAACTCGTTCAGGCACACCACGCAGCCGTAGATACCGCCGCCGCTGCATTCTAGTACTCCTCCTGTTCTGTACTCGCGAGTTGGGAGAGCTTGAATGGTAAGTTTGTCGAGGCCGCCGCCGCCGCGAGGCCAATTGTCGGGGGACAGGGCGATGAAGGAGTCGTCAACAGCGGGTTGTCCGGTGGCGGCTGTTGCTCTGGAGGAAGGGAGAAACCAGGTCGATGTTGGGAGATTGAAGGGAAGCGAGGAACAGCGGCATTTGTTGACCAAGACGTAGTATGCGAGAAGCAATGCAGTTGCGGCTCCGATGATGCATAGGACGGCGATTGTTAGGAGAGGGGAGGCATTGTCTGATGATGTATGAAAAGAGCGAGGTTGTATTTGTTGTTGTTGATAATAGATTATGGGATTCTGTTGCTGCATTGTACATTTGATGTGGAGGGCTGTGTTTTGTTCCTCTGGAATGGGGTTGAGAGAGGAGGGGAGGAGATTGAGGAAGAAATGAGGGGGGTTTTATGTTTGGGGTTTGGACACTTTGAGGGAGTATTAAGGGCATCCAATGATAAATGCAGGGAGGTGCAAAATTTTCACTCTCCTAGGCTAGGAAGTAGAGGCGTGATTGTACAAACGTTGGGTATGTTTATGATTAGGGGTGGAAATCGGTACGGTATCGGTATTCTAATACTAAATACCGAAATCATGAATACCGAATTAGCCCCTAAAGTCAATCCCAATCCCTAAATAATTTCGGTATTCCAATCCCAATCCCTAAATATTTCGGTATCCCAATCGGTATTATCGAATACAAAATTAATTACCTTTGCAATTAATAATTAAATATATAAATTAGATTTTATTGTTTAATTTAGGGGGGAAATACTAAGCAAAAAGTCTTGAATTAGGATATTATTAAGGAGAATGGAGGAGAGGAGACATCTCAAGTTCTTGTCATTGGTAATCGTTATGTTGACAAATTGGAGGTTGAGAGACGACTATTAATAGTGATGAAATGATCTATGTATAATTAAATGACACTCTTGGTGGTTGAGGGTCGTGTAGTAGTGAATGAGAGAGTCTAGTTGAGAGGATAAAATACACACTAGCTTATATTTCGGTATTGATCGGTATTTCGGTATATACCGATCCCAATCCCGTAATCCCTAATACCGAATAACAATTGAAATTCAATCCCAATCCCAAGAAATAATACGTGTATTCGGTAATCCCAAATAGAGACAAATTCGATACGGTATTCGATATATCTCAAATACCGGTACCAAACTTCCAGCCCTATTTATTTATGATGACTTACAAGTAATTTGGAGCAAAAGTGATATTGACTTTTATATCTTAATCTTAAAATATATTAAAGAGGATTAAGATTAAGACTCAGCCTCAAAAGCCTGACCGCAATTTTCGGTAATCTGAGTTTTTTTTTTTTAATTTTTTTTTACCATTCGCGTTCGCCTTTATGTCATTTATTTTTTGTTCGGGAAAACTACTCATGTTTTTTTATCCCCTTTAAACCGTCCCCTAGAGGCTAGACTCCTCCTTGCACTAGGTTTTTCTCTTTTTTCTTTTTGATCAATTTATTTTGGATGGAGATATGGGAGGAAAGAGATGATGAAATAAATTATAATTATTTGTGATGATTACTTATCCTCAATAATAATAATTTAATTCATCTAAATAATAATTTAAATATTTTAAAATATTTTTAATAGAAAATATGTTTTAAAATATTAATGGTAAATTAATCAAGAGGTCATTTGGAGAATGAAATCCAAAGTATAGATTCATAAAGTTTAGAGATTTAACGAATATGGTTTCTTTCTCCATTTTATATGTGTATTGTAGGTTTAGAGATTACAAATTCTAAAATCTCGATAAATCATAAGATGGACGGACCTTCTGGTGTTTCTTTTTAATTTTAACTATAAGTTGAGATGCGAGATTTCTTTTCCTTTTCGTGGTGTCTCTAGGCCTTTATTTTTGTGATGGAAACTAATTGTGCGGTTTTAGAAAATTATTGCTTTGATAATCATATTACACATATACACATAAATTAAAAGTTACATGCCCAAAGGGCAGGGTTAATGCTAGTTATAGTTTTACGTGGAGATAGTGATAGTTAAGAGGATGGAGTGTAGGAAGGTGAAGTGCTCGGACGTGAGTCATGATCTATCAAACACCAATTCCAAGCATGCCCTCCTGTTTCAACGACAAACGAGTTGCCACACATGTGAGATATTAGCAAAAGTCGAGGTCTCCCGACTTGCGTAGAGATACACTATCTCCAAGTCCCGTGAGGAAAGAGGTGTTTGGGAGATGGAAGGTAGAAAAAGATTGGTAGATGATGGAAAGCTATCTGAATGCCCAAACACATTTTTAAAGGGCACTTCGGCCCAAAAGAAAAGCTCTTTGATGGCTTCACAAAAACACTATGATCGGTTGTCTCTCGCGTGAGAACACTCATTTTTTAAAACATTTTCAAAACTGGAGCACCTTTGTAAAACCTATTTGAGGTCCAAAATGGGATAGAGGCCAACACATGTCCTAACCTCAATAGTAAACAATATCAACATATTTAAAAGGAAATATAAGCAAAACCCCTCACTTACCGACATCCTCTATAGAGCTACACTATCCACCTAGGAATACAGACCATGACAACTAACAATTTAAAGCACATTGATTAGGTAGATGCATTGACAAGGTGTTTGTAACCCTCAAATTTTTTAAACTTTGGCATACAATGCTAGGTTCCAAAACACACTCAATATAGGCCATAAACAGTTCATTCATCTAAATGTGCCTGAAGCCCTCAAATTTTAATATTTGGGCATACAAAACTAGGCTCCAAACACTCACATTCAAACTATTCATCCACAAAAACAAGCATAATGGAATCACCCCAACCCTCTATACTTAAGCACAACATTGTCCTCAATGGAGGAAAGATAAGAAGTGTAGAACGAAGTTACCAGATCAACTGTGAACGATGTTGGAGGGACTAGAAATAACGCGAGACTCGAGAGAGAAAATTAACATCCAAAACACCACAACGTCATGAAGGTTGACTTATTAAAGGGAAAAGAAATACAAACCTAAAGCTTGGGTTGCCTTCCAACAAGCACTTCTTTAGCATTATGATTCGCACGGTGGCTCCTAAGTATCGGTCCACTCCAAAACCTCCTTGAATTTTAGGTTCTCATCGATTATGTGGAGTTTCAATTCCCGAACATATGGTGTGAATAACAATGGTAATGGCTCGTAAACTTGGTGAGATTTGACGCTCCATCTACAAGACCTCTTCGTCTTTCCTTATTCTCTCTTCTCTTTGCCCATACCATGTAGGATATCATGGATTGAACACTATGGAATCCACAAAGAGGGATCAATGAGGGTTTTCCTTGGCTTGGGGAAGAGAAATAAAACATGGTCCTTTCTAGAAGTTCATCAAGGTCAGGTGGAAGGCTTTGGCAGCACGTGTCATTTGTGGAAGATTTATCCACCCCAACCTCGTTCTCATCTTAGGAACCATTTGCATCCTCAACCTCCCTTCCTTCTTCCAAGATTTGTTTGTCCCCTTGGGATGAATCAAGTTCTACATCTTCTTTAATGCTCACTGACTCGTTCCAACTACAAATTCCCAATCGCCGGCCAAGTATAACCGGCGACTGGGTGCAACATAAGGCAGGCAAGCAAGCAATAAGAATATAACGTACCATGGGATCTAGGCTTACCCTACTTCAAGTTTATGTTTCGTTATCTTGCCAACCTAGAGTAGTGCTTAGGAAAACTAAATTAACTAACCTAGACTAATCACTAACCTAGCTATTTACAAGGTTTGGGGCTCCCTTGGGTTAAATGCCCCTATTTCCGACCTTTGGATCAATGTTGGGTATCCTCCTAATTCGATCGACCCTCTGTCCTACCGTTAGGAGATGAACTCTCTCGGTACGGACTCGGAACGGTGAAGTGATGGATGGGTGGGAGCCATAATCAACCTAAGACACCCCTATATCGTAGGAGATCGATCCAATCGACTCCCTCGGGGATTGCCCAGATGATATGAGGTGAGGAGCTGTTTCCCTCCTAGGTCAAGCTTGATTGACTCAATTACTCTACCGTTAGGAGATAGACTCCCTCGGGAATGACCCGGAACGACGAATGATGAATGTGGTAGGCTCTATTCAACCTAGGGCAACCCTATATCATAGGAGATTGATGGAATCGACTCCCTCAAGGATTACGTGGACGATATAGGGTGAGGAGTGACCCAAAGACGCCAATAATGGGCTCTAAGGGGATTTTCTCCCTCCTAAGTCAAAAGCTCAATACATGAAAATGGAAACTCAACTCATGTCATTCATGAAAACATCCATCAATTAAGTAAATTCATTAATCAAACATGGAATGTGTCACGTACATCAACATTAAACCCAAATCTAGACCTAGGGTTCTTAAACCAAGAGAAGAGGGTGAGTTTCCATAGAGAGAAGAGAGAAAATACAAATTGGAGCCCAAGAACTTCTTCTTCTAGGCTTGAATCCTTGTCTTCAAGATCAACCCAAGCCTCCAATTAAGCTCCAAGATCACTCAAGCACTCTCCCTCTTACTCTAGAACTCCCCTTTGGTGTTTTGGATTGAAATCAGAGAGAGAAACACTCTCCCAAAAACCAGCTCCCCTTTTTCTTCCTTCTGCTGCTGCCTTTTATACCCAGATCGAGGGCTGTTAACGGTTCGAGTTCACGGCCGTGAACTCGAAGCTTGAACCGTGAACTCGAACCAATTCACACCATTTCACTACAGCACTTCACGATCTGGAGCTGAAGTTCACAGGTTTACGACCGTGAACTGACTTGGTGTCAGTAACCTCTGAAACTCCTCTAGACGCCCTTCAGTTAACTGTTTGTGGTTCTAGTTCACGTTCGTGGCGACCGTGAACTCGCTACTTGGATCGTGAACTGCGGCTGCTTTCCTAGGCGCCCGCGGTTCACGGTCATGGGACATTTTTTCACTTTTTGGCGCTTTTTGACCTTTGATAATCCCGAAACTCATCCTCGACCTTCCCACACGTGCTAGGAACTGAAATAAAACAAAACAAGCACAAACTAGCGTAAAATAGGTCGAGGGACGGTGATCTACTAAACAAAACGGACAAGAAATGAGGGGTAAAATGTGTACATTTGGACCCGAATCACTCCCCACACTTGAATGTTTGCTTGTCCCAACAATTGAGTCATTTTTTACCAGTCAATACTGATATGATCCAAATTGGCCACTTCTACAATTCAAAATTACTTGCCAAAGAAGCTATCAAGGTTGGAAAGAAGAAGGGCAGAATTTGGTTAAGTATAGAGACAGTTTCAAGGTACCAACTTTGGAGGTATGGTTCTCTTAATTGGATCAATGAAAATTGGTGTTTAATGGCTTGTTTTAAATATAAACACTTTATCTATAAGTTGGTATGCTTGGTGGCTCAAGTGGAAGTCCAGAAGATCACATTCCAGACGTATAAAAATGCTATGAAGAATTCTGAAAACTGCCAAAATCTGGCTAAGGCAGAAAACAGTTTTGAGATGCAAACTTTGAAGGGCTATATCTGGAGTTTGGAGCATGATCTCAGGCTGATTCAAGTTGGAGGTGAAACAGGAAGTTTTATTCTACAAAGGCAAGGAATTGGTTGAATTCGAATCAACCTAGAAGACCATTTTAGAAGGGCTCAAAGATGCTATGAAGCCTGTTTTCCTAGGCAGACTTGCTTGCGTTTTAAGTCAGTTTCTTGGCCAGCAAGTTACCTTGTTTTACTCG